CCACTACCACTACCACTACCACTACCACTACCACTACCACTACCACTCTACTTACCGCAACCGCAACCGGGCAGCAGCAACACCACAAGCGACACCAGAACGAGGCGCCTTGTATGACGTTGGCAAAGATCATGGCGATTGCAGGAACACTTTGCTTGCATTGTGGAGGAGCCCGCAGTTCGATTTGGGCCACGCAACCGAGCAAGCAACCAGCAAACCACATCTGGTCTCTCCGGTCTAACCCTGCGCAACCACCAAAGCTGTAAGCAAAAAGCAAACCACAGCGATCCCTTACCAGCAAACAACATCTGGTCTCCAACACAGCTGCTGTCTAGACTTTGTTTGCATCGCGGGGGAGGCGCTGCGCCCTCCCCGCACCCCCTCCCGCTTTTGAATTTGGACTACGCAATTGAGCAAGCAACCAGCAAGCCCGGCGCAACCACCAAAGCTGCAAGCAAAAAGCAAACCACAGCGATCCCTTACAAACCCTGCACGCAACTTTGTTTGCATTGCGGGGGAGGCGCTGCGCCCTCCCCCGCACCTCCTCCCGCTGTTTAATTTGGACCATGCGACCGAACAAGCAACCAGCAAACCACATCTGGTCTCCAACAAAGCTGCTGTCTAGACTTTGTTTGCATTGCGGGGGAGGCGCTGCGCCCTTACCACCAACAACAGCAATAACCACGACGACGGCGACAACGACGACGACCACAACAATTGCAACTACAAGTGCAACTCCGACTCCTACTCCGACTCGAGCTCCTCGTACTGCTACTGCTACTACTGCTACTACTACTACCACCACCACCACTACTTCCGGTGGGCACACAGCGGTAAGGGGGTTCCACAAATTTAGCAAGAACATGTTGCGCAGCAAGTTGAAAGATACACTTTTGGGCCTCGTCGACATTTTCCCATGACGGCATGGCATTGAAAGGGGAGACGATTGAAAGGGGAGACCAAGGTCAAATTGAGCCAAGACCAACTGGCATGACCAAGTATGGGGCAAAAGGCGACAAAAGGAAAGAGACTGGGCCACAACCAAGGAATACTAGAAGTAGTGACGGAGCTAGTTTGACCAAGGAATACTAGAAGTACTAACGGGGCTAGTTTGGCATTGGGCACCATCTGCTAGCGCAATTGCTTACAGGATGCAAGCACCACAAAAGGAAAGAGACATAGCGGCAGGAACCCTAAATACCGTGGAGGGAACCCAAAATCACCTAGGGAACCCCAAAACCGATTGCGGGAACCCAAAATAACCAAGGGAACACAAAATCCGATTGTGGGAACCCAAAAACTGATTCTTTAAAAAAAAGGCGCTAGGGAAGGGAAAGTCGGAATCTGGGAACTGGAAACACCCAACCCCACAGGGGCCCCACAGTCTGCTTCACCTCACAGTCGTCCAGTGATCGGTCTTGTCAGTGCGGGTGTAGGTGTAAAACGGACCAGGCCTGTAATTCCAGCTCCAATTCCTGCATCTTGTTTGCCCCGCCTGCGATGGCATTCGGCTCTTCGTTGTGTGTGTGGCGACAGGACTTTGCAAGTTTAACAGTGGAGGAACACCTGCGATGTTTTGCTTTCTACCGACAATCCACTATGGGTCTTTCCAGAAGCAAAAACTGATGCAAAAGTAGAAGGCCCTTATGTGGCTTTCGGCTGGCTGTGGAATGCAGGTCCTCTGCACTGTTCGAGAGAATTCATGGCTCTGTGTAGCTTTGGGTAAAACCCTTTGGGGCTCAAAGGCAATCGACTCAGCACCAAGAGAGAATGAAAAGATCATTTGGCAGGATGAAAATGAATTGTTACAACTGTGCTCTTTTGGTCGAGTGCCCCACGTAGTGCCCCACTGCTCATAGTGGAAGGGTCTATGTAGGGCGCGATGTGGAATCGCTCTTTCGGTACGGTGTCGAGCGGTGTCGAGCTTGCACCCACAGCGAGCCGAGCTTTCGTCATCGCTGCTTCGATGCAGGAAGGTCTACCTTCGACATCTTTGCCAGAAGGAATTCTGCTTGCGCATGAATTCTGCTTGTCACAGGGGCCACAAACATAAACATGATTGAAACGAAATCCAAACCGTGAACCTGAAAAGCGGCACCATTGGCTTTGGGCCGAATCCGCCTCCCTAGAGGAAAAACTCTTGGTGGTTCCATGTGATGTCCACCTGGTACCACTGGCTGATTTCTATTTAAGTGCACCCACATCTGTCTCTAATGCCATACCCTTGGGAGGTGTCAACTTTCCGGAGCCCCCCGTAGAGTGTCAGTGTCGTGTCACCTGTGGCCGTATCTCAGTCCTACTAGGGCACTCAGTTGTGCCATCTGTGGCATCAAGCAAGCCAACAGAAAGCAAATGGAAAAAGTGATTAAAGTGATGTCCTTTTGGGAAGGAATAGAGGAGTCGGTTTGGTACCATCGTACACTTGGGGTATCCTCTTGTACACACTCTATGAATCAACCCAAGGGCATAAGCCCATTTCGATGCAAGGACCACTCTCCGGTCAGTGTTCATTCACTTCCGCTTGGACTTCTGTTCCGCTTCGTCTGGGCCGCATCACTCAGGTCCCCAACGAACACACGCCCGTACACGACCCGTCGTACACGACCCGTCGTACACGACCCGTCGTACACGACCCTTCGCACGCGACCGCTGCCTGTCTTGGGTTTGTCTTTTTTCCGCTTCGAGGACGGACCCGCCGTGCTCGCTGGTGGTTTGCTAGGGCCAAAATGGCTGCCATGTTGGAGAGATCGAGATCGGGGCTGCGACACCTCCACCAAGCAAACCGTAGTCCGTGTTGAACTATGTATATATGATATACGAGCGTAGTATGTAATATAGATCCGATATTTTCTGGGGGTTGACATCTGATCTGGGGTTTGCTAAAGCTCCAGGATTGCATCACACTCCCCAACAGGTATCTTGAAGGTTGCTACATGGAAAGCTCATCTTCTATAGTCGGTATCCTGTTCTGGCCTATCCTGTTCTCAGTAGCAGCTTGTCACATTCACCATCACTGCAGCTGGGAGTCAGACCTGACCACCATGCACATCCACTCATCGGAAGGGGATGGGAGGGACCCAATGTGATCGACACCAGGTGTAGTAGGTAGGGAGCTTCTCACATTGCGCTGCATCACCAATTGCAAAAGGGGGGCTTCTCACATTTTATTAGCTGTAAGAATCAGTGATTGACCATGCTTTCGCAAAAAGACCTGTTTCGGCGTCCAACTTGACTGGCGCGTCCCCGAACAAACATGGGATGAGACGGAGTGTGCAAAAAGAAGCGCTTGAAGGGACATGTGACACTCGTGCCTCCCACTCCATCTTGTTTTCTCAACCAAAAGACCCTTCTCATCAAACTTACTGAACTCACAAAAGCCGTTCAAGATCATCCACAAATCTCCCACGTTCATCGTTCATCCCTCTTCCAGTCTTGAATCTCTTCTCCCATCACCTGGAAAAGTGGTAAACATGAATAACCGTAGAAGGAGCACCAGAAGGAGCACCAGTACCGAGGCCTCGTGACGATTCGTGAAGAACCGTCTTCCGCTCTTGACCTCGCTCGCTCGACCGGGAAAACCGTCCTTCAGGTCATTGAAGCCCTTCACCGTGTTGTCCACGAAGAAGATCAACTCCTGGCGCGCGAAACCGCGGCACCACACGGAGACGACGAACGCGGCACGAACCGGGACCACGGAGACGAACGCGGTCGGGACGTTGGGCTGATCGAATGGACAGACATGGACAAGCCAGCAGCGTGAGGCTCGAGCTACACCCATGTGGGTGTAGCTTCCACCCACGTGGATTGGAGCTCTGAGGCTCTAGACCTCCATTTGGATGATCATCACGGGAATCCAATCAATTCTTGGATGGACCTTCTCAAAACATGTCCGAGTTGTGGTCTCAGAGGTTCGATGGCACTGGCACCCCGTTCGATGGCACTGCCGACACGGGGGTTATAAACCACCGAACTTGGGGGTCCCAGACGTGCCATCGAGCCTCTCCATCCACCGAAGTGAAGCTCAACCGACCCCTCGCCATGCGGATTGAGCCGAAGGAGCTCGTGGAGGCCCGTCCCTTCTGCCGCGACCTGCCGCGACCTGCTTTTCGACCAGGGACTCCAATCTGAAAGTTCCTGAGGCGTTTCAAGGAACTCACCTGGTTAAGGCACTTGTTACTAGAAGCGATGCACTTGTTACTAGTAGCGTTCCTGGTCTTTCTTCACCTCAAGGGACCAACTGTCCCCTCCGTCCCTCCATCTGGCTGGGCCGAACCGCAGCGGAAAAGGGGTGGGGTGGGTATCATCGAGCGCTCCTGGTGCTTCTCCTCCTGGATCTCCTTGGCTGCCTGAGTTGGAAGAAACGAAGGCCCAAGGCCTTAAAACTAACATCATGGGCCGGGTGTGGAGAATAACCTCCCAGGCGATGCAACGACCCCGTGGAAGAAGGGAAATTACACCAGTCTACCCAGCCAGCGCCGGTCTCCCTTTCAAAATACACACACACACACACATGGGCTGTGCTTGGTTTTTACTCGGTGGTACTTTTGCTTGTCAAATTGGTCAATACACACCGTAGGTGGGGAAGTTATGTAACATCAGAGAAGCAGATGAATGATGTGCATGTCATCAGCAGTGGAAACCAAGTACTTCTTCCATCCCTGCCAGCTTGAGCAGCCTCATATCCCTTTTCTATACCCCAATCTTCGGTACCCATCCCAGACAAAAACCAACCTGGATCACTTCCCCCCCAATAGACAAATTGAGCAAAGTCTTTGTGTGAACTACTCTCCATTGAAACATTCCAGTAATGGGAGTACCCAATCTGCAGTCCCCACTTGCCATGAACGGTTAAAAGTGCTTCCTATTTCTGACTCTTTCAGAGTCAGTCCACTCCGCTGCCTTGGCGTCCCGCCAAGGCCCGCGGCGTCCCCACCTGCACGTTCACCTCGAAGTTGGCCACGGCGCCTTCCGCCTCTTTCAGCGCTGCCGCGGCCTCGCAGTCGCTCCGAACTCGCGACCGAACTCGGCGCGTCCGCGCGGCGGAACTCGGCGGTTCGCAGCGTGAAGACTTGACGGGTCTGAAGGTTCGACCCCACTGGTTTTTGGAGCTCATGTCGAATTGGCCTTATGAGTCAATGCGTGGTGGCCTCAGCTCCTGGCGGTTTTTTGTTCCTGTTCTTTTCTCACCCACTGGGTTGAGAAAGTCGCACTCCACCTTGTAGCAAAAGCCCCCACGCCTGTCATCAACACCTTTGCGTTCACCCCGGCTGGAGGTGTGCCAACGGTTTGGAGGTGTGAAGCTCAAGTGAACCTTTGCCATAAGTGTCTTTCCACCACGCTTCTGGCGCCAGGAAGATGGACTAGACTAGACCGCCAGCGTAGTTGGACATGCCTACCGCCCGCCGCGGTTTGGATCAAAACATCCAATCTGACCTCTTTCACGGTCTGCTTGGCAGCCAGCAATTCGCTGGAGCACTCCTCACCCGCAACTTGCGGAGGGCGCGGTGTTTGACCCAGATTGGACTGAACGAACAAACCCTTTACAGAAGATCCATGTTGGCAAAACACCCCCGCTTGCGGAAGCAAGGCCCATTCACTTTCACCACCATTTGTTCCGGAGTGTTCAGGATTCCCTTGCAGAGGTGCGCTTTGGAGGAAGAGGCATCATCAGGTTTTGCTGCCCAGGAATCTTCAAGCCTGGTGATATATGGTAGGGGACATCTCCCAGTTCGACCCCCTGCAAGAAAAGAAATCGACCAGTCTACCCAGTGGGCCAGAGGGTCTCCATATTGAGAACACACACCCATATTGATTTCACAAAATGCCCTGGCCCGTCGACCGCTGCTCCACTCGATCGCTGCGCATTCGGTCCCACTAGAAGCGGAGATCGGGGTGAACACTCTCCGCCAACCCCCTTCCGTGAAAACTGCAAACCCTACTATCCCCCATATACGGTTCATTCAAGACCTCTTGGAAGACCCCGAGAATCCACATAGACCATCTGCGACTAAATGATGAGCTCCCTGCACTATTCACTACCTCAAGTAGGATTTCTGGACAGCTCCTCCTTCCACAGACTTCAACAGCACCCAGACGGATTATGTATGGAATAGCTGCACATGCATACATCTACCGACAGACCTCATTTGTGACCCAGAACCAGCTCACTTGACCGTACATGAACGCTTTTGCGGCTCCTTCTGCTTCTCCTCTGCTTCACCCAGCTTTGCGTTGGCCTCATCCACCGCCAGTTTACGTGCCTGGCCGAAGACAGCCACCCCCGCAGACAGCTGTGAAAGAGTTCCCATTCGAAAGCTGCCGGGAACAACATTAGGTTGGAGACCCTGGGACGCAAATCAAGATTGCGTTCATGGTTCTTTCCGAACAAACATTGTTTTACTAAGGGTTGTTGTAGACTAGAACAACCAGGTCAACCATGTGTTTAATGGTCTTGGGGCAGTTAGGGGAATAGGCTTTTCCAAGCTTCTTCGGTTCGTCTCTTTTCATAGGAAGACTCCCCCGAGTCCTCTTGCCCCTGGCTGCGTAGACAACCGAACCCAGAGGTTGCAATGCCCGGGAGGTCTCCCAGGCATTGAGCCACACGCCCGTTCTGGTTGCGCAGTCCCAGCTGGCGACAGGGCGCGAAGTGTGACTAGGGCTCATCGCTCAGGAGAGCCTCAATTCCTTCATCTCCCACGAAAGCGAAGCAGTTCAGTGAGTTTCTCCGTAGATCTAGGGGATATGGCAATATGATCTGCCATATGTCTATATCTGAAAGGGGAATCCTTGAAATGTCCCCCCCCTTGGCCACACAAGGAAGTATATACATCGATGAAAAATCCTTTGGCTTCATGCTCCCTCAGTAACCTCTTTCATCCCCCTTCCCTTCCAACACAGATTCTTGCTGCATCCGCACCTGGCGTTCAGGAGCTCCCTGCTGCAGAATACCATCCAGCGACTGCAGCTTCTCCTAGGAGTTTCTGCTGGAGATGCACCTTTCAAATAGAAAGGCCCTATAGCGGGTAAACTATCTATCTTGATGCATATGGAGATGACCAGAAACACTACTGTAGTGGTAAATGTTCAATGGATTTGTGGAAAAAAACTCCTTTCATTTTGCCTGTGGAAAAATCTCGCAACCGATGGGTCACAGGTCACACCTGACCGCCTCAGAAACCATATGTACTGTACATATAAATATATATGTATACAGTATATAGTAGTGTACAGGAACTACGTGCATGTGTATACATATATATATATATGTATTATGGCCTCAATGCATTGAACGGACATGGGAACACCTGGGGCGTCCAGAAACGTTGGAGCCAAGTCAAAACAACCCCAACAACGATCCAGCAACGTTCAAGTTGCTGCATGTCCGTCCTGAAAGCCCTTCTCCAACTGTTCCAGGACCATCGTATCGAAGCCCGCACGCTCCGACGGCTTCTTCCGCAGGACCTGAACACGTCGGAACGGCTTCGCCGCGGCGTGCCGCGCGAAGCAGGTGAGCCCATTGATGCTTAGCATGTTGGGTGCTCTCTTGCAGAGCAAAGCTTCCTTTTAACTGAGATACCCTTGGTCCAAAAAGGAAAAGGCATGGGAAAAATAGAGGCAGCCGCTCTGTGTGCCGCTCTGTGATCCTCCCAGCGCGGTGCCGCCGTTGTCTGGGGTCTCCGAGCAGGGATCATCGCAGTCTTCAAGGACTCCTCCAGAGCGGTAGAGTTCGGAGTGGGCGAGTTCTTAGTACAGAACTGGATTTCGGTGATTAGGAACTGGATTCAGGTGGTCGAGTTCTTCCTCCAAACAAGACTTAAGAGTATATATGAAATTCCCACGCGGCCAACTATAGTCAAGAGTGCTAGCGGACGGACCACGGATATTTGTGTGCACAGCGGCCGTGGGCCGGCTTGGTCACTCTTCACTGGATTTCGGTCGGTGAGGAACCCTCGAGAGACCCGACCCGAGCAGGAGGGGTTCATGCTCCATGCGTTCCCACTCTGTGTACCGGTGCCAGGTCCGCGCGGCAGGTCACGCCGCGGTGGGGTAGACACGCACCCGCCACCTCCAAGTCCAGCTTGGCGCTGCAGGGCTCCAAGGCCTGGACGTCTCTGGACGGCCGCACCGAAGAAGGGAAGCGGCCAACCAATCAAGAAACATCTCAGAACTTAATAAGATGATTAAGAAAAATTAAAATAGAACTGATATGGTGTCTCTATATGTTTCTCATATCATGTATCATAGTTCTCATATCAAAGGACTGGAGCCAGGTTCTTCAGTCAACTTTTCTTGGCCTCATGATGCCCCATGCGAAACGAAAACGAAGGGCCCCATCTGTATGGCTTGCTCCTGTGAATGTGTCTCTCTGAGACTTGCCCGCATCGTTTGACCAATTCTCCGAGTTCACACGGGAAAATGGCAGCGCTTCGGTGCGTTTTTCATGGCGTTTGAATGGCTTCCATCAGCTGCCACGAAGAGACCTCTTCGGCAGCGAAACTCCTTGGGCGCCAGGCACCACCTCCTGTATGTACTTTCAAGTAAGAACCCCAATAGCAATAGCTCGTGCAGGAGCTGGTTTGAAGCTGGTATTGGGGTTCTTCAAGAATAGCTATTGCTATTGGGGTAAAAAAGTTTGGCAGCTGGTTTGAAGAATAGCTGGCTTCCTCCAATGCGACCGACGAGGCGCCGCGCGAGACGAGGCGCCCTGTGTCCGAGGAGGTGCTCAACGGATTCCAACGGTTTCATTCAATCGAGAGGGTTTTTTATTTGCAGGTTTGCTTGGATGATCCTGCAGGGTTACTATTGCAGGTTTGCTTGGATGATCCTGCAGTGTTACTAGCCCTGCTTCGCTTACTGACCCTGCTTGTTGAAGAACATCTGTTTTCTAAATGTGTCCAGAAACGACCTCTACTTCCTCAAGTCGCTTAACATGCCTTCACCCGACGCCCCCGTTCGACACCACCCTTCACCACTCGTCACCCGTACACGCCTTCAGATGGGAATCCGGCGACTCCGTCCAGTCACCAGCCTCGTGGCGACCGTGGCAGACATCGGCTGTGGGATGAAGACACCGGAGCCCAGTAAACCACAAGTCCAAATTTTATGGAAAAGGATGGAAAGGATGTTGAAGACTATATGTTTTTCCCCTCTTCCAATGGGCATCCTTCCCATGTCACATTAGAAGAAAGGACATGGCTGTGGGTCATAGCACCGGGCAACCCTGGTTGACCACAGGTCGCTGAACAGAAGAGATGTCACCAGACATGGTCAACCTCCGTCAAAACGAGCTCCGGGTGCGACCCACAGCCACATCAATGGGAGTATCTGAACCAATTCTTCTGAGAAAAACCGACACTCAAGGTACCTGACCTCAAGGTGTTGAAGTTGGAGTTCCAATCCGGGCTCGTTCTCCGGACATCCGGTGTGATTCTCGGAAAACCTGTGATTACCGGTGCTTCCTTTGTCCTCCATCCACCAGCCATGAACAATCTCTTCGAATCTCGGAGCTCGGAATGTGTTTTACATGAGTCCTGTGCCAACATGTCCGCTGAAAACAACCCACAAAACCACTGGAGCGGCGGCTTTGAGGTTCTGGAAGTCGCCCTTAAAGACAGCCTCCAGCTCAGCCTGCACAGGGAGGTTAACTTGAGAACACTGCAGCGGTGTTGCTGCACAGGTGTTGCTGCAGGACTGCCTTTCCGCTGCTGAGTTCGGCAAACAAGTCGGGAGACAAACACGCACAGCGCTTCGGAACTTGTTTTAGCTCGGGAATTGGGCAATGGCAAAGAACTCCAGCAAGTCCCTTCTTACATCTTCTTACTATATACTGGGACATTCTGAAGGGCCAACCAGTCCTCTGCCCTAAGACACAACCCTGACTCCCAAAACAATGGCCCTACCATTCTGAGAATGGATGCTCAACAGGGCCCAGCATCCAACAGTGCGAAACGGCTGAAAGACCAACTGATACAGTAAAGACTGTGGATGAATAAAGCCCCCTACTAGAATGGTTTTACATCTCGACAGGATGAATGGTTCAAATCAACGGTTTTCAGGATGAGTGGTTTTACATTTCTTCGGGATTGTGCCAATCAGTCTACAGCAGGGATCGACCTGAGCGATTGCAATCTTCACCTGACGGACGAAATGTTTCTCGCAACAACAGCTGCTGCTACTAATCCTCCCACTCCCACTCCCACTGCCACTGCCAGTGCCACCACTACTACCACTACCACTACCACTACCACTACCACTACCACCACTACCACTACCACTACCACTACGACTACTACTACTACTACTCCTACTACTACTCCTACTCCTACTCCTACTACTACTACTACTACTACTACTACTACTACTACTACTACTACTACTACTACCGCTACTACCGCTACTACCACTACTACCACTACTACCACACCACTACTACTCATCGCGTCTGGCCTCACCTCACCAAAGACCTGAAGCGCCCTCCAAAACACCCTGAAGCGCCCCACCAATTCCAGGAGAAAGTGCTCTGATGGAGATGAGCTCTACAATGTGCTTGAAGGCCCCAGTCCCACACCTCCAACTCTAAGCTGCACGAAAAATCATGCTTTGTTCTGGACCCCGAAACAGCCTTCAAGGTCTCGTGGCCACCCATCTTCGTCTCCACACCCAAGGCCTCCTCCTGACAAGGCGTTCTTTTATTGAGGCGGTCTCTCCAACGTTGGACGGTCATGAGGATTGGCCTGATGCACTTACGGAACCGTGAAAACAATATACCCCTGAGAAGGAGATTCATCCACATGGAAAGTAGAAAATCACAACAAGCACATTCGGGACACCCTTGTCCTGTTGGTCACCTGAACAGAAATCGTTTGGAGGAAGTCACCGCCAGAGCCTAGTCTGGGACTTCTGGGTACTGTATATAGTGTCGGAAGTAGTAGGTGAAACATCCCAACATCAGGTCCTCCTTCTTCACCAAAACGCCTTTCGCTGCCACCACAGCCTGGTGGCCAAGTCATGTGCGAAACATCGAACAAGTGCGACAGGTCAAAAGCCAAAGCTCCTGCGATTTTACGAGGACCGGATACCACCATGAAGAATCTTCATAACTACTTTTGAAATCGGTTCTATCTCTCCACTACACACCTGCCAACCTGCCTGCGAGCTGGATTTCAGCGCAGCATCCTTCTCTTCCGAGTGATCCTGCGCCTCCTGGACTTGAAGAAGTCGTTCACAGCATCGGCTTCATTGACCGCACGAACCCAAATTAGCTCGAAAGCTAGAAGACTCCCTCCAAATAACTGTGCATCACTGTGACACCCGAACTCGGCATTCCCTTTGGCGGACCCTAGGAGCGAAGGAGGTTCGTCGAGTCCTCGGCCACCTCAGGGAACGAGGCACCCAGCAACACAGCGACCAACAGCTTCAGATTCTAAACCTCCGTTGCAAGGTATGTCGCCACATCCAACCCATCCGTTTCGGATCACGGCATGTCTGACAAAAACCAAAAGCGAGGACGAGTCGCTTCGAGTCGCTTCGGACGGCGCGAACTCTTGTTCCGTGGTCCTTCAACTTCGCTTGGGCCTTGGTGACTTCCTCCACCAGCTGCTCCTGCCGAGACACGTGGTGCGTGTCTCGACACCGGTGCCACGGTTGGATCCACAAAAGCAGAATGGGAACTGGTAGACCACAGCTGGTCGAGGAAGACTATGGAAGAACTATCCTCAGCTCATCTTCTTTGACATGCCGGTCCCATGCTACTTTGCCAGGAGGGGAATGATTGAGTATTGATTGCACAAAGGTCCTGTTACTGCCCCAAATCCTTTCTAAAAGAAAGTAATGGTTTCAACTCCAACTGTTTGAAGACCCGCTTCGAACATCTTCCCTAAGAAGCGGTACTGCATGACTTGACTCAGGCAAGTCCAGCATCCATAACTAAGAATGGTGAACATGGTAAAAATCATGGAAAATCATATAATTCCTCATAATCAGTGAAGAACTTGAACACCATGGTGAAGGACTTGTCCTAGCTCTTCAACTCTTTTGGTGACCTCCGTCGATGACTCCGCTGCCTTAGAGTTCGTGATGGTCTGCACCTTGAGCTTCTCGGCCTCCAAGGCCTCCAGCGGAGCAAAAACGCAGAAACGGTGCGAAGTCCGACGCGCCCGGGTGGACGTCTAAACGAGTCGCAGTTGAGATGCGAAGCATGAAGCATGCGGACTGTCGGACTCGGACATGACAAGTGCTGTGCTTTGGACTGTCGGTCAGCTGTGATTCTCTATGGGAGACCCCGGATGCGCCGCCTTTGTTCACCTGCAAGGTGTCCAGCCAGGGCTCAAGCTGGAGAGTGATTGGCACTGTAACAGTGACACTGTTTGTGTGTTCAATCATTCCAGTGACCTGTGAAAATCCAGGGCCTCTTCGTCATGAGTCCAAAGCTCGAGGTGGGGATGGGTCCAACCTAGAGTTTTTTTCCCACTTCTAACATTGGTTCTCAGCCCTGCCCAAGCCATCTAGAGATACCCAGATCAAAGAGAACTGTTTTGAGTAACTCTGTTCCAAACATGGGAGGAAACGTTGACCGACTCGCTATGGCCCTCAGTCACACAGTTCGCAGTAGCATTAAATAGAACATAATCATTGAATGCATGAATGAAATCTTCTTCCGGCATTTGAAAGTAAATGTTTCAAGTTGTTTCAAGCTTGCAATTTTGCCCTACCTTTTGCTGGTTGCTCGGCCAGCATCTGTGAATAAGTTGTATCGATCTCCAGTGGCACCCGCGGGTATTGCCTATCCATCATATGAGTGGCAGACAAAACTTCTTTGTGTCCCCAATACCAAGAGTATTTTGGGTTGGCCCCTATCATACCAGTGTCCAGTGTTTTGGAATGCAGGCAACAAGCTACCTTCAACTTGAGGCCAGGGGGAGGAGGTCGAAAGCTAGCCGAATCGCACCGGATGTGCTAGTCACATAGTCGGGAAAGCATGTAGTGAGTACATGTTCTGGGAGGAAGGTTGCTATGTACATACTTTGCGCTAAAGAATGTAAATGTGACATCGCTGACTGGGACTGGGAAGGGTACATTGGAACAACCCGGGTGCACTCGTTGGCAGGCACGAAGATGCGTGATCGGCCAATCTGGGGGGGTAAATTTACCCTCCGCTTTTGTATGCCTTGAGGGGTAAGCATGTCTGACATCATACGGACTGTACATACACTAGGGCGTCCGTAGTGTAGGAGAAGCACGGGTAAAAGGTATATGGAATAGAGTGTCTTGAGGAAATAGCCGGCTTATGGTTATTGCAAATCTGGGGGGGTAAATTTACCACCCGCTTATGTATGCCTTGTGCCGGAAAGAGGAGTAAGCATTTCTGGCATCACAAGGACTGTGCAAACACTAGGGCGTCCGTAGTGTAGGATAAGCACTGGTAAAAGGTATAAGGAGCAGAGTGTCTTGAGGAAATAGCCGGCTTATGGTTATGGCAAATCTGGGGGGTAAATTTACCCCCCGCTTATGTATGCCTTGAGCCGGAACGAGGGGTAAGCATCACAAGGACTGTGCATACACTAGGGCGTCCGTAGTGTAGGATAAGCACTGGTAAAAAGGATGTAAAAGGTATCAGGAATAGAGTGTCTTGAGGAAATAGCCTGTGTATGGTTATAGCAACCCTTGGGAGTAAATTTACCACCCGCTTATGCATGCACTAGGTTAGAAATAGGGTAAACAACTTGTAAGGGTGAAGTACAAGTCCTATGCAGCAAGCAGCAGCCAGCAGCGGCAGCAGCAGCAGCAGAAGCAGAAGCAGCCGCCTGCAGCCAGCAGCCAGCAGCAACCGCCAAGCAGCCAGCCAGCAGCACCACGCAGCAGCAGCGCAGCACCAAGCCGCAGCAGCAGCAGCAGCAGCAGCACCAAGCCGCAACAAGTAGCAAAGCATGAACTACCTCAAATGATCTCAAATATACACGCAACTCATTATCATTATACCTATCAGTTTGTTAACTTCTGCATTGAATGAGCCACTCGAACCAGCAAAACGACGCCAACCCTGGACGGAGGCTGAAGGAACGACGTAGCATGGAGGTGAAATGGAGCGTGCTCACCGTAGGACATGCCTTGACCAAGGATTGTAGATGCAAACAATTGCACAAACATATGCACACCTTGCCGCTGTCTGAACACCAGCAGAGCTATCACGCAATTCATTCAGTGGAATGGTGGTATGCACCACAACAATAAGCGAAGCGGCGCAGCTGGGAGTTGAACCGCGGGGGGGGGGTTAGCTTGATATATCAATCTTTAAGGCACGCAGCCCCTCCCACCACAACATTGCTAAAGCAAAGAAGAACTCAGCTAGCATGCTAGCTTTCGTGATCAATCAAGAAAGGCTGTTTTGGGTTAGCCCTTATCGGTTTTGCCAGGTTTTGATCCATTCAGAAATGAGTAAGGCAGCTCATGACTGGAGTACATGTACGGAAGTCTTGTCGGATGCTCATCTCATCTCATACTCTCCAGGGGATCCATCCGAACTCAGTTCAACGCAGCTGTCCTCAGAGTGGTCATGTTTGGTCCGGTGACTCATAGGGCGTTAGGGTCAAGACCCATGATCCAACCTCCAAGCTGAGGCTAAAAGGATCGGGAAACCATCTGCACTCACCATCTGGGGACAAAAACATCTTCACCTCCCTCCCACATCTAGCCACTGACACCATCTGACCCCTGTACATTTTTCAGTGGGGCTTTCCAAACTGCCAAGCTTCTAGGCTGTCTCTACTGAGCTCTACTGCTTCTCATTTGCTTCACCTCTCAAGCTTCGCCTCCTGAAGCTTCGCCTCCACCGTCGCCACCACCTCCGCCGATGCGGAGGTAAGGCGGAGAGAGCGCCTAAAGTCTTGATCACTCGTTCCGTTGTATCACGTATCACGCGCGGCGCCCATGACTAAGGACATTTGTATATAGGAAACAGAGGAAACAGCCCCATGCGACCAGACGACCAGGTGTTTTCGCAAGATTTTCTCACAGGATCATCAAAATCTTGCTCATCCATGGCAGTTGTGGGAAGATACCGATACCTGTTCCAGAGATGGATCTATGAACCTCCCCTCCATTGCCTGTCAACCAGCCACACACGTCCCGGTTTCCCCGCACCTTTCACCGGGTCCGGCGTTCCGAGTGCGTGCGGCGTGCGGGTCGCCTCTCCAAACATCGTCACGGCCAGACGTTGGACGTCCTGGCGGTTGGAACGAGTGACGAGCTGGCGGCTCCGGGCCGTGAGAAGCTGCCCCCCCGATCGCCCACGGGTCGCCGTCGGTCGGTCGACGTCGAGGCCTGGGGACGACATGGAAGTTCCGTTCTGTCCAGCCCCAACAGCATAGGTCCGATGTGACTGGGGACTAAGTCTTCTTCTCGCACATGCGATATGTGCGATGCAAAAGGCATGGCAGCTCCTCGCGATGGTCATCCGGCACGCACAAGCTTTGCCTTAGCATGGGTGTATGGTGTCTTTCCCAAAAACAATCAGTGACAGTGTCAATGGGAAACCTGAAAAGCCCCGATTCCTTCACCCCTCAAAATGGTAAGAACTGTGAGAAGCTGACTCTGTCCATCAGACCCTGGAAGAACCCTGAAACCAGTTTCATGGTCAGACCCTGCTTGGAAATTTTCCAGACAGACCCATGGTCAACGTGGGTACCGACGAGATCAAGGTCGGCTCAATGTGCTTTGACCCAGGGTCTTGCGACAGGAGCCTGAAGCTAGCCGATGTTCGTTGACCAAAACAAGAGAGCCCTCTGCCCTTTTCGCATCATGCTATGCTAAATACAAAGGGAAATCTGCAGGTGTCAGTCTAATTGGACTCTTCCCAAGCGAGTTCTAGACCCCCAACCGACGGCAGCCATGTGATAATCTGAGCTTCCGTGCGGCAGCATGGCCAAGAGCATCTTCTTGCAGTCCTTGCGTGAGGACTTCACTAAGCTCTCGCCAATTCCTCCCTCCAGGGTTCCCCCCCAATGATGCGATTGACGTGCTTAGCCTTTCAAAAATGTCCAAACCCACAGCAAATCACACCTCCACCCACCAAAGGCAGGGGCCCCACAGGGAGGGCCACCCTTTTCACCAAGGATCCTCGGGCAGGTGGCTGGTGAGTGGATGCTCCAGTACCTGCCAACACCAGGAAGTTGGCATCGCTCCAGGGTCCGCCCGACAGGATGATACCGATTCTGTGGTGTTTTGGTGAGCAAGATGTCTTGCATCCACCAATGGCGTGCCAAGGTGGATGACATGTCTATGCTCCACGGGTGTTCATGGTTCCTCAATCGGGCTGCTGTTGGAGATTCAATGTGAGAGCCAAATTCATAACAGGGAGGGACCATGTGTGGATAATCTGCATAGACAATGGTGCTGGAAGAATCTGAAGTGGTTTCAGATGCACATCCCCGGGCTGCATGCAAGACATGATTTCGAAGACGTTGGTGCAAGAAAGAGTCAAGTGACTCTGAGTAAAACACCCCATCTTTCCATGGAAAATGGAGAACACTCCTTTGCCCATCATGTTCTCTTCTTTTTGAAGCAACACAGCATCTTTATCTTCAACATCTGAGCTCCACCACTTGCGGAGGAAATCCCGCGGGGACCGGCTCGCAGCGACCGGCGAGCCGCGCACGTCCGCCATTTGCTTGAAGGAAGCCTGGCGGCGGCTTAAAAGATCTCCGCCTAAAATCCAAAGCTGCTACTGCTAATGGCGCATCAAAGCGCATGGAAGCGGATGAAAAAAGAGAGCCCAAGCCAAATGGCATCCTTAGCCGCTCAAATGTGGAGGGATGTACTTCTTGCATCTGGGAACCTCTAGCCTCTTCATGCATGAAGCCCACATTCGGGTGCGCGCGCGCAGCTTAGCTTGCGCATGGCATATAACAGATCGTCATCACAAACAGTCGGACTTTAAAAAAAATACACTGAAAACCCATCTGCCATGGTTTAGGTCTCGACTGTCGCTCTTGTGTAAAACAGCCTGCCTGTCCCAAAGATGCCCCGGTCCCTCGCCACCAAAACGAGGCAGAACCCGAAAGAGACTTCGCCGGTCGTCACCGGACGTTCAGAGTCACCCACCTGCGTCACGCCGTACTTCTTCAGCACCGTGGCGGCCTTCTTGTGCGGTGGTTCCTCCACTGCGGGCCTCGGCGTGTGCGGAAGTGTTCCTCTACCGGATGGCTGCGAGTTGGTTTGATGATACTGTGCGGATGCGCCAAAACATGGCGCACAAAATGCGCATGGCTTTGGCCGCTCTTTCTGCCTAAAAGCTGAATCCGTCGGACTCATTTTGGCTCACAGGCGAGGGCTGACCTCGGAGGGCTGACCTATGTGAGTTCGCGAGGAAATCCAAAAGGATTTCAGGTAAATGAACATGTTTTTTGCGAAAACGGTCTATCTGTGCATTTGGGGGGGTCTATCACACCAGCAAACTTCCACTACAACTCCAATTCACATAGTAAGACTTACGATGGATCAGTGCTCCTGCACTACATGCGTTCCCACTGCGAATCTCTACAGTGGATCCAAATGCAGGACTTTGTCAAGGCAGAGTTCCTTCACTGAAAAACCACTGAGGCGGAAGCGCGGCGCGCTTGGTCTGAGTCTGTCCCTTGCCTCGGCGGTGTCGCTTGGTATCACAAGAAATGGACCAGGATGAAAGACTCGAAAGAAGAAAACAAGAAAGAAACCACCAGGCTGTGGAAATCAACAGCCCTGAAGGCGTCCAAAAAGAGCCTGCTGAACCCCCAAAACTTGGAGTCAACAGCCTTTGTAACCTCTGCAGATCCAGGTGTTTTCGCTATTTTCTTTCGAAGAATCGTTGCTGATTGGACTTCATCCAGTATGTTCCATGGTATTTTTGTATGCAACCCTCCACTGGAGCCGAACATGGCTAAAACCTCACCTCACCTCCTGAGCCGAAACTCATGTGACCCGGACAAGGAGGAATACAGCCTGTTCGTAGAGGAAAACCGTCTTCCATGCCCCCAGGTTCCATTTCATGTTTTTTGGATGGACTGTAATTTCACCAAACTCACCTTTTGATCTACCACAGACTGTGGCCAGGCATGTTTGATTTTCTGTGTACCACCCTACCCGCCGGGTCAGACGACATCTTTCAACCTCTTGCCAAAATTGAAACATATCAGAGGTTCATTTGGGATCAACCAGTTTCTGGATGTTTCTGGCCATGGCCTTCAGACAGTACCTGCATGGCCTTGCACATCATCTCTGCTTTGGCTTCTTCTATCGCTGCGACCCCCCGGGACCACCTCCACCACCTCCCCTTCTGCAGTGCTGCGTGCGGGTGCCATGGCAGTCTGGGGAGTCAGTTTTCACACAGATCGGCAAAGATTTGCACAGCCAAATGCTGCAAGTCGGTTAAAAACCGAATCGATGGGTCAAAACACTCTATCAACATCTTCCAGGATTTGCGCAACGTTTGTTGGTTGCGGTGCATACCATCCAACTGCTCACAAACTCTGGAAAGACTTGAGGGATCTTGCCCTTCAGGAGTTTTCTGTTGCAAATAGGTCAAAACTCGTTTGGCAGTTGTGGAACTGAGGAGAGAAGCCTATGCCCCATGTCTTTGCCGGGGCCTTCAGTTTGGAGGAAATCCCAGTTCCAAGACTAAAGTTCCTGGCAAAGGTCACAAACCATTGAGGATCACTGGTGAGTCGGCAATCAATAAGAAACCAAAGCTGCAACAGCATCCACCGACAGGTTCCTGCCTGCTCAGCACTAAAGAAAAATGGACTCGTCCAGGGATCTGCCCAACTTACCCCGGTCGCCACAAAAAAAAAAGTGGTGATGGTCTGGAGTCTGGAATGTCCTTACGGTTGGAAGAGCCCTATAGATACTCTCGCAAACCAAAGATAAGGTAACCCCATGTACCCCCACACCCTTCGAACGGTCCGAACCTGCCCAACCCCTCCACCCTTTTTCTCGCTCCAATCCCGCGTCACCCAGCGCGACGGGGCGTCCGGGCGCAAACGGGGACGTCGGTGGAGCCAGCGGGTTCCGACCGGAAGACGGAAGATCTGGGCGTGGCGGTGGGCCAGTGGACATCTGAGTGGTGAGTGCAGTGGTCGCGCAGGTCGTGACCTTCAGTGACCTTCAGTGACATGGATGCAGCAGGATGAAGGACTGTGTTGCGATCTCTTCATTGACGGGATGCTCAACAGGAGCTTTAAAAAGATAAAACTCCTGAGTTGTCGAAAGTTCCCACCCGTAGCGGATTCCGCTCTTTGTAAAAGAGAAAATGACTTACACACAAAAGCAGATTGGGTAGGTGATGGAAGTGATCCCCTCAGAACTCTGACTGGGACTTGACTGGAAAGGGCATTCTTGTCAGCCATGCAAAGAAGCTCCTGATGAAACTCCCATCTAGGATCTGTGCTGAGATTTTGAGGCTTCCAGAATAATATAATATAACCTTTTACAACATGTCTGGAATACCCGCCTGTTCTGGTGGTGCTTGGTTCTGTTCAGGAGATGTCGTCAGGTCATTTTTGTCGTTCGCTCTACACGTTCGTGGCTGCATCGAACGCACCGCCCCGGTCTAGCCGAGTTCGCACCGGTCTGGAATCTGCGACTCAGTGGACCCCCCATCAGACCGGTCGAACAGCGTTCACCCAACCCTTCGGTGACCGGCCGAACGTTTGGTGCCTTGGCATTGACCGACCGGTCCTCCAAATCCCAATGCCTCGATTAATGCCTCAGTAGTTACATCCTTGCCCCTACCGGTCACTGTTGAATCCCCCGGGCAAGACATCTCTTACTGGACTCCTGGTCTTTGCAAAGCTTTCACCCAAAATATCCATACCCAAGATTACCCAAGTGCTTCTTCGCGTGTTTTTGCTTGGGCAAAGGTAGAAGTACCATGCTGTCCATCCAATCGCCGGCCTTCTTGGGGGCAACTGGGTTTTCATGCGCAAGCGAAAAAAAGGGAAAGCTGGGCTCCACAAAGTAGACTGTCAATAAAACCCCCTGGCCGAGAGATGTAAATTCATTCTGGATTTGGAAGGGGGGGTTTTCATCGGTCGATCTACATGACGCTGGACCCCACCAAAAGCTGGGCTCTCTTGATATCGATGCATAGGAATCCCTAGGAACGCGTAGGTTGCCGAACGGCGAACTCGGCGAACTCGGCGAACTCGGACATGGACCTCTCGCTTCAATAGACACGGACAATGGGACAAACTGGCCCCGATCAGCTCCCGTTTCGGGTCCTTTTTGTCGGAAGCACCGAGCAACTGTGTGTCCTAGTCATGAACTCGCTGAAGAAGATCTTTCGAGATTCCAGGCCAGTGTCTTCAGTGCTAACCACGCCCTTTGGGTTCGAGCTGCACGCCCTCAGGATCCTGTCAGCTTCGCAGGATCGAAAGCAAGGCAGATTCGCAGATGTTGCCGATTCCCTAGATGGTAGTGATTTGTGAGCGCCTCCCAAAGCAAGCAGCATGCAGTAGGGAGACCTCCTAGAGACCTCCCGGAAGGAGGAACATAGACTAAAACCCGTTAGTTGGCATCTCCCTAATGAAAGACGGAACCCAACATCTCCTTTCGGGGTGAGTGGCACAACCAAGGACGATCCGCGGCAAAAGATGCTTTGTTGGGTACGGTCTTTGCCTCACAGAAAGGCATCAATGGAGAACCCTCAAGACATCTAGTGTAGACTCTTATACATTCCAAACCCCCATGTATAGAGGCATTCCCTTGACCAGGCACCTGAACAAGTCCGGAACCTGGCCCGGACTTGGGGGAACGATACGAACGGGCGCATATTGCCTTAGCCTCTGAAGTTGTCCTTGATGTGCTGTGCAATCCTGAAAGCGGATGGGCACAAACAGGGGCACGTCTTGTTTCGGGAGGCTCATGCCATCGCGCTTACGTGAAGGAAGCGTATACCAACCGGCAGGGGCACATCATAGTGCATCATGGTGCGGAATGTGCATCATCTGTCCATTTGCCTCCCACACCTTCATTCACGGATCTTTCTCTCTCATGTTCGCCAGCCCTGAAGGAGTCTTCCTCAGTGCTCCTGCTACGCTTCCAAACGCCCGGATTCCCTCCAAACCCCCCCCCTTCTGCGCAGGCCCCTGTCTGTTCTCCGTCCTCCAGCGGCTACCGCCGAACCGCCGAAACCGCCGTCCCACCCCACCCGGCGCGTGCCGTCGAACAGAGCGGGTCCCGCACACCGTCTGCCCGCGGGCGCGCGCGGTCTGTCTATACCCTCCAAGAGAGGTTGAGAGACCAGAACTAGGAGCCTGTAGTGGTATATATGGGATGGGCTATAGGCTAGGATGGGCTGTTCCACCTCTCTTGGCTTGTTTGCCCCCAAAAGCCAAAGCGTCTCTTTGGCTGTGGGGAAGTCGAACATCAACGTGGAGGGCATCGCCACGCCTCGGAACTCCTGGCGAAACGACGCGTGGCACGAAGCCGAGCGAGTGACGTGACGTGGCACGACAACGAGTGACGGGTGCGGTGCCGAAGCGGCGTCGGCTGGTGGAAGCTGGAGATGTTCCACAAAAATCCCGGGAAGTGGAAATGGTTGCTTCTCAAGGCGTGGAGATTCGCTCGCAGCTCTCAAAAGGCGTGGAGGGCCTCGACCCATGACCCATTCCGAAGCTTGACCAAGGGACACCCGAGAGAGCACAGCCGGTTCAAGTCACAAGGTGGTCCCATGGCACGGAAACCGTGCGTGAACCGCGGCGCGACGGTCTCCCGGGCCTTGGTGAGCGTGTTTTGGAACTCCACCGAGGCCAAGGAATCCAACCCCGCGTCCATCAAGGCACTGTCCTGGATGAAGAACGACGAGCAAACGACGAACTCCATTAAAGAAAGAAACAGACGGAGAATCCCCGGGAAGGCTGGAAGAAAAGTCCATCCAAAAACATCGAATTGGAGTTTATGATTAATAGGAGAATTGTCTCTACTGGAAATCCATCTAGTTTGGGGGTGAACCAATCCATTAGATTCCAGAACATGTGTCCTGTCCAATCAGTCCTCAAAAAAGACCTGCTCAAAGACACATATTTCTTCTTTCCATGTACTTGCTTGGTGGTCTTCGCATGGCACTGCATGCAGAGCAGCCAAAAACGGACAAAAGCTACGGCAGACACATGAAAAGGAACCCCTTTCAAGTCCTTTCAAGTCCTTGTCCTGGGTAGAACGAAAGGATCAAAACGGTACACACGTTTCGTGGCTCCACCGCTCCACTGCCGGCCGACCGGACGTCCGCTCCAGCTGCAGCTCGTCGCTGCCGATGAGCGACATGGCGATGTCCTGCACCTCACAGGGGACGAGACGGGTCGACGACGGACTCCTCCGGCAGATCCGGAGGAGGTCCACTGGAGGACCGGTCCTATGTTGGTAATATCGTGGATGGGCAGCGACAGGAAGGAGAGGAGACCCCTCTGACGTGATCTGTTTGGGGGATGTGGCCACCATAAAACGGGACTTCTTCATACTTGGCGGGGAGAAAACCCGAACAAACAGCCCCAAACAACTCGTGAAGAAGAACGGCTATGGGCCTGATCGGCGATTTTTCGTGGACTCGCCCTCCTTGGTTCGTTCGCTCCTGCGTCCTGTGAGTCCCTCTTTTCCTTCGGTGCCCGGGCCGTCTCTTCGATCTGCTGCAGCGTGGGCCCGCCCTTGGGCGGCGCCACCGGGGCGGCCGGCGCGGACGCGGCCGCCGGTGGCGGCGCCATGGGCGAAGGGCCTGGGAGAAGAGGACCAGGAATCCATGTAGAGGGATGCTGGTGGCAAGCGGGCTTCCGACGACAAAGGGCTCCAGGTTGAACAATTCAACCAGTGCGACTGTGACCCCCACGCGCCTGGGCCCGGCCCACCGGTGCGCCCACCAATGCCGCCAGCACCATACCTGGGAGGGGCCGATCCCCAACAAAACCGGCCTATCGGGCCTATCGGGTGCCTATTTGGGGTCATACCTGGATGGATTCCTCAGATCACCTGGGCCGCGGGCCGGATCACCAGGGCCCTTCAGTATGTTCCTTCGAACACTGACCGTCTCGGCCGAGGCCCTCAGAGGCGCCGAGATCGACAGCGAACATCAGTCGAGTCCAGAACCTCAGTCGCCCAACTCCACCGATCACCCCTCCTCCCCGCGCTCGCTCGGGTCGCATCTGTGACTCCGAGGGCATCATCGGCATGGGCGTGGCCTCAGAGGGGTCGGTGTGGGTCATGGCATCAAGACTCTTCTGCCAAGATGAACATGGCTGTACCGAACGGTTGACCGAGCTCAGCCAAGACTCGTCGCGCCCGTTTTTCGGGCTCGTTCTTCGCGACCCATCCACCACATCGGTCGACTGAAGAACCTCCGAAACCATCCCAACTTGGCATCAAAGGTCCGCGATCGGTCCAGGCCGCGGACCTTTGAACCCACATGTGGCTTTGGGATGTACCGCTCGGAACATCTCGCTTGAAATTTGGGTCGCTTGAACCTTGGTCTAGAGTCTAGAAAAAGGATGAAAAAGGCATGGGTCGCTTGAACCAGGGCCACCCTTGGGTCCCCTGGCAGCTGTAATGCCCATCTCCTCCTGCTCCCTCTGTTGTCTCAAGTAATCCCCGTCGATGATCTCGCGCGCCTGCTCCTGGGTCTGGACATGATACGCTCCACATCACGGTCGAAGCCCACCGGCCGGGAACCGCCGGTGTCGTGGGAAGAGATCTACAACGGAGGGATCGGAGGGGGCCTGTAGGGCCTAGGTGTTGGATAAATCACCTAAATTAAACTCCCTGAAATCATCCTGCGCCAACGTGGAGAGCATGGCTCCAAGTTCGGATGACCATCAAATCCGAATACCAAACAGGTGGTGAACTGCATAGACTTCATAGAAGGTCAATAAAGATGCATGCTTCACTGTACACCTACCAATTTTAATGCGGGTCAGAAAGGCAGGCCTTGAAATGATGGAGGCACCATTGAATAACACCAGTAAAACGCCATGCGCTTTCGGAAAAAACCAACGGCCGGAACATCTGCAGGGCTTCCATCTCGTCCATCGACAGAGGCGACGCATAGCTGAGCTTGGCGGGGATCACGTGGAAAAGGACCCGGTCTTCGGAAGACATCGACGCCTCTTGGTCACCTCGGTCCTCAACTTGGGTGTCTTTATCTGGGTCCTCTTTATTTTATGTCATCTCTTATATGTCATGAAGAATAAACCGATTGGTTAATGTTGTAGATAAAGGTTGCTTTTTATGATGGTTACCTTGTTTAATCTATATCTTTTATTAGTTCGAGAGCACCAGTGAAAAACAAAAGGCAACCCCTCACTCCCTTTTTTGGAGGAGGCAAACACAAACTGGCACCTTGTCCTTCTGGCACCACTTTCCAAGAGACTAAAGGAGTCAGAGGAGAAAAACACAAACCAGCATAAACCCCAACAGTAAACTGTTTGGGGAATCAACAACTGGATCGTACGCAACGCAAGAGCTGTCGGTTCCCCAGCGCGGCAGCCCTCCAGCTCTCCGCCCCCCTTCTCACAACAGCATGGCTCCATGCCCTGCTCGTTGCCCATCTCTTCGAACATGTCCCGCGATTTGATCGCGTTCTGCGTGCAGCACGCGGCGCGCGGTCTGCGAACGCGGTGTTTTTCTGCAGTCAATGGGGGGGGGGCCTTGACGCCAGCCTTTTTGTCAGTGCTGGCCTTTCTCAGGAGATCTGAGCATCCGGGTGTGAATTGCAGGTAAAGACCTTCTGGGAGTCAAAGACTAAAGAAGAATGGTCTTGAGGGGACCTGAGTTTGGGAACTTCCTTTACTTCAGCCGGTCAACATATAGTCGAACTGGACTTCTATGGGGACCCCTTTGGCAGGTTTGAGGTGTCCATTCACCAGTTTACCCAAACCTTTTGTGGGTTTTCGGGGGGTCGTTCGGGTGGATTCCGACTGACTCGACTCGATTCCGCGGAGTCTGGTTTGGGGCTTTCAAAAGCGTGCTTTTCATGAAAGAACTCCTGAAAAGACACCCTTCCATGGCACCAAAGAGCACACATTGATGTGGTTTGTTTCACCTAAGGGTGCCAGACCGAGATGCTCCCTTCCTTCATTCACAATCCTCCACCGTCCAAAAACCTTGGGGGGAGGTGAGAGGTTGGACGTGCTCTTGCGAGTTGGTAAGACCAAGAGCTGTAAAGAACAACGGTTTGGATATCCGCGTGATGAATGGAGACCCCGTGTCCAAGGGGGTGCACGAACGCCTGAGCTTCATGGTCGCAGAAAGTCACGAACGCCCAAAACGTCGCAAGTGGACTCTTGAATTCAGAGTCGCCATCGTTCCTTTTTTGGCCCATGCTGGATCCAAATCGTCGAAGTCACTGGAAACTGCCGTCTGGCCATGGAGCAAGATCGAAACTCCAACCAGCTCTGCATCAACCTTGTCAGTTTGACCAGCTCGGCTTCCAACGGATCCGAATGGGGCCGACCTCGCCAAGACGTCGCCAAGTTAACCTTCCACACTCAGCGCCTGTGTTCCGAGAATGTGTCAGATCTTCGCCTTCGCAAAAATGAGAAGATCCGAAGATCTGCTGCAAGACGGTCGGTCGGTCGATCAGTTCTCCTGTGAATGTCGTGAGTCGGTCAATCTCTCAAGTGTCACAGTCTCACAATGTTCGAAGCTGACTGGACATGCAGACTGGGAGAGGCGCTTCAAACAAAATTTGCAGGCGGTCATTTTTGAAACAACGTTGTTCAAAATGACCGCTTGCAACTTTTGCTTCATATACAGTGTGTATATATATATATACACTCTTTCGCATCATGCTCTGACGAATAGCTGGGTCGTCAATCAGAGCTTGCAGTGCTTGGCTCCACTTTTGCCACCGATGCCGTCAAGCAACTTCTGTGCTTCCTGCCATTGCCCACTCTTCTTGCCAGCCCCAACGGCGACCTTGCAGCAAATGAAAATTGGCTGCGCTCATGGCCTCAAACAACTTCAATGCTTCCCGCAACTGTCCGCCCTTCTCGCAGGCACTGATGGCTGCATTGTAACTAACGACGGTTGGCTGAACTTTCGCCTTTGGCATGGCCTTAAACAGATTCAAGGCTTCCTGCCATTCCCCACCCTTCTCACAGGCACTGATGGCTGCATTGTAAGTAATAACATCTGTCTGCACTCTAGCCATTGGCATGGCCTCAAACAACTTGCATGCTTTCTGCCATTGCCCGCCCTTCTCGCAGGCACTGATGGCTGCATTGCAACTGATGACATCGGGCTGCAAATTTGCACCTGGCATGGCTTCAAACAACTTCAACGCTTCCTGCCATTCCCCACCCTTTTCACAGGCACTGATGGCCGCATTGTAACTAATGACTGTTGGCTGCACTTTCACCATTGGCATGGCCTCAAACAACTTCAATGCTTCAAGCCACTGCCCGCCCTTCTCGCAGGCACTGATGACTGCATTGCAGCTGATGACATCTGGCTGCACATTCGCACACAGCATTGTTTCAAACAACTTCAATGCTTCCTGCCACTGCCCGCCCTTCTCGCAGGCACTGATGGCTGCACTGCAGCTGATGACGTTTGGCTGCCCTTTGGCCTTTGGTATGGCCTCAAACAACTTCAATGCTTCCTGCCACTGCCCGCCCTTCTCAAAAGCACTGATGGCGGCACTGTAGCTGAAAACATCTGGTTGGACTTTCGCCACTGGCATGGCATCGAACAATTTCCAAGCTTCTTGCCATTGCCCGCCCTTCTCACACGCGCTGATAGTCGCGCTGTAGCTGACTACATTTGGCTGCACTTTTGCTCTTGGCATGGCCTCAAACAACTTCAAAGCTTCCTGCCACTGCCCGCCCTTTTCGCAGGCACTGATGGCCGCACTGTAGCTGACAACATTTGGCTGTACTGTATCTTCTGGCATGGTCTCGAACAACTTCATTGCTTCCTGCCATTGCCCGCCCTTCTCAAAAGCACTGATAGCAGCGCTGTAGGTGATGACATTGGGTTGTAGTTTTGTCTTGGGCATGGCCTTGAACAGCTCCAATGCTTGCTGCCATTGTCCACCCTTCTCGCAAGCACTGATGGATGCGTTGTAGCTGATAACATCCGGCGACAACCGTGCAGTTGGAATAGCCTGAAACAACATCAAAGCTTGCTGCCACTTCCGGCTTTTCTCACAAGCACTGATGGCTCCATTGTAGTTGATGACATTTGGCTCTACGTTGGCACTTGGCATGGCCTCAAGCAACTTCAATGCTTGCTGCCATCTTTGGGCCCTAGAGCAGGCTGAAAGCCCAACTGTGTAATTGGACGCATCCAAAGTTATAGCGCCATTTTCTCTGACTGCCTCCAACATGGCCAGTGCAAAATTCCATTGCCTTCGTTCCTGAAAAGTCTGCAAGACTTGCTGAAGGTCACGTTTGGAGCATACTTCTGGCAACAGAATCGTTCCAAAATGTCCTGCCATTTGTTGACAACATATGGAAATGGAAAGGACGACGAAAAACCGAACCATATTTTATCTGCTGGTCGGCAGGTCCTAGTACAGGCTGAAGAAGCAAGATATTGTTTTCAGATGAACACTTCGGCGCTTGTTACACTGCGAACGTATGTGAAGCGATTGTGAAGCACCCCGGCAAGTGGTGGACAGGGGTTAGCGGAAAACGCAAGCTCTACATATCCATCGTTGGTTCACTCAAGCTCCCCCGGATCCACCACAACTTCACCTGTCACCAATCAGAAACCGAACCGACAATCTCACTAACGTCCGCCCCATGGAACCCCTCAGGTGGGTCCTTCGTCGGTGCTCACCCCGAAAGTGGTCTTCGCTCGTTTTCGGCGCGCGCTCCGCGGGCTCCGCGTGGAGGGGGTCATTGCGGTCGAGGCCCACGTACCGGCGGCGAGGGTGCAGCACCAAGCGGCGTGGTGAAGAGACCTTCTTCCTTGCTGGTGACCATCAGGTGGGAGTTTTACAAAGAAAATATCAATGTCCTCCACTCGCCACCCTTCTAGGACTGCACAGGAACTGGACGGCCTGACTGCGTAGCCCGAAAGCACAGTAGAAGTGAGACAGTTTTAACGGATGTTGGCAGATGATAAAGACTGAACGAAATGAAATCAATCCTAGATTCCACAGACACTGTGGTTTTGACGGATGATCCTGATGGTGATGATGATGATGATGATGATGATGATGATGATCATGACGATCATGATGATGATACACGTGGTGATGCTGACCGTGGTGATGGTGAAGGCGACGATGTGGGATATGAAGCTGGTAGCTGTTTTTTACGGAGAACCCTTTGCAGGAGCTTTCAGAAAAAACGGAACTTGAAAGGGGAACCGGGCAAAAAGCAAAACAGTCCGTTTTGGACACCGAACGGGTCCTCTCAAAGGCTTGGTCAACTTCAGGACTCTGCTCAGGCTTCCAAGTCTTGCTCGGCACGTTCCACTGGCACATGCCCGGTCAGGGCTGCGCCGTGAGCGCCAAAGGAGACATGTCATGGGCAACGGGCGGAAGGACGGCAGACGGTCACAAGGAACAAGGGGTCCAGAACAAAGGGCATCGCTACTAGGAGCGAGGACGCTACTAGGGGCTCCTGGCCTTACTACTAGGAACAAGAAGCTACTAGTAGCTTCTTGTTCCTAGTAGCGATGCCCGGGTTCCTAGTAGCGATGCCAGGAACGTTGCGAAGATGGCTCAGAACTTGCACCCCGGCCAATCATTACAGCATTGGACAAAACACATTCCGTCGTGGTCTGCACCGCAGTCCGTCGGGGTCCAGGGACACCGCAGAGGACCTTGCTGCCTTTCATCCATACTGATGCACTGATATGCACTGGATCTTTTTGAGCCGCACTGAGCAACGGGATTCGTTCTTTTTGCCCCATGCATGTGCTGTACTCAACAGGAAGGCACTTGGTTGAGGCATCAGATGCCCTGCCTCTGGTGCTCTCAAAACATCATGAGAGGGTTGACCCACTGCGAAGCCCTAGGTTTGGACCCATTGAGATTTGAGGCAAATACCCACTTGAATATACACTGTGGTTATCGAACAAGCCAATGTTTAACAAGATTGAGAAAACCATGTTCATGTCACACATGAAAAGGGTGCTTCCATGCGAGTGGGCATGCGAGCAGTGGCACGTCACGTCCGCACATGAGCCCGTAAGATCGCACATCCATGACGTCCACCACATGTCTGTTGAGGAGTCATGACGTCGCCATTCCCAAAGCCAAACCTCTACTTAAGTACTCCAACCCATCCAGCTTCCAATACCATCTTCAGTGATCAATACCATGGTCTGGCTTCCAATACGATCTTCGGTGTAGAAGTCAATCAGCCATGGAACATCTCACGGGACAGCAAGCTTGCAATACAGGTCTATCTGCAGTCCTACCCATTTACTGAAGTTGGATTGTTGGAGATCTTCCCCCTTTGGGGGCATTTGCAAGAATTCTGGACCTCTTCACGAGTTCCAGTGTCGGAGACAGAAGCAGAAACCCTGAAAAAACTACAGTGGTTGCCACGAGCATGCGCGAAAAGGATGAACCGCCGGCCTCTTTGGCCTTGTCGTCCTCGCCATCGCAAATACAAATCTGCGCCTCACAGGTTGCACAAAGGTCTGGTCGGTCGGAAACCTGCCACCTGAAGATCAGGTGATTTTGTGGGATCAGGGAGCGAGCTTTTGCAGGATAAGGGAAATGTTCGGAACCTGATCTCACCTGGTCTTTTGCGGTAGTCGTCTGAAGATCAAGTGATGCTCACCTGGACATGCCGCAACTTCACAAGCCGATTGAAACGCATGCTTCTTCACAAGCGTGGCAACCAGCTGGTCTTGGGAAATGACATCTTTAGACTCCGATGCGGGCGCCGCACCCCGCCTTCAGCAGCCAGAGACTGGCCTCCTCCATGCCTTGGGACACCGGTGCCCTGTCATCTCGACCCCAAAAAGACCACTGGGAGTATCAACTGGGTGCATCCCAATGATGGTTCGGTTGCTGGGGAGACCTGTTCCCCATCCCAGTTCCATCCAAATCATGGCGTGGAAGCCCAGCCATCTGATCTTCTGATCTGGGATTCATCTTGATGGAGAAAAAAGCATGGGCGTCCTGCAGCTGGCTGTGGGAACCTTACTCATATCTTGGGTGCATCCCGTTGCCAAGGTCCAGTGGATGATGGTTAGGTTGTAGGCCTCTCTTTAAAATGATGATCATGATTTTACCAACGGCTATGCTTTTGGGGCACACTGACACACCCTGCTCAAATCCACACTCTCGAAAAGTGGGGGAAACCATGGGCCAGACCTTTTGCCCCATCACAGGTCCATCCAAATCATGGCGTGGAATGTCTTTAGAATCGCATTCTTGAGCGCACAGGAAGGAAACATCCAAAAATGCCCACTCCCGGCACCAAGAAGGCGTCCAAGTTCTCGGCTGGAATCAAACCACAGGGTTTTACTGTTCTACTCAAGTTGCTCGGCTAGAAGAAGCACCAAGATTGAGAAACCTCATGAAAAAAGGAGATGTCTTTGAACAAGAGTAGCCCTCTCCAGATCCGACCAATATAGGCCACGCGTTCGGCCGCAAAAAAAAAACGCACGTTCGGCCGTGTGGTCCAGCGTGTCTGTGCCACGATGTTGTCCCCTTCGGTCGTGGTCGTGGCTCTGCGCGTTGGTCCGGAGGGCTTAGCAGTTTGTCCATCAACACCTTGAGACCGAAGCGGACCTAGCGGATCTAGCGGACCTAGCGGACCTAGCTATAGTAGCTGCTGAGTGGATCGCTGGCTTCTGGCTTTCATCCCACACGCCAGACACCGACGCAACCCCTCCACAAGTGCCCCTGAGGCATGCTAAGTGAGTCTTGGCTCTGGTCGGGACCGGAGGCATCTGCGCCGCGACCGCGTGATGGCAGTGGCCCCTGGGTACCCCGGGCGCTGGTTGTTCTTCTGAGCGATCTCCAGCGACTCTTCCACGAAGGGCCCCGCCTCACTTCCGGCGAAGAAGGGCCCCGCGCCCGCGGTGGGTGCGCCGCCGGACCAAACCGTGGGGCTCAGCGCGAACGGCAGGCACGAAACGGCAGGCGCCCCCCCCCGGTTTCACGGGAAACGGTCCTTTGCATCCACGGCCGTCGCGCGATGCACCCAATGAGATGCTGCATGGTTGGACCACCCAGGGACGACTGGTGCAGCAGAAGAAAGGCTTCACAAGTTTCACTCCTCAACCAGACACCCCCACCCTGACCAAAGGCGACCGGTTTGCCGGTTTGTTCAACCAGGTGTGTCCACTGCACCATGCCTCAAACGCCTCTCACCAAACGTCCAAACGTCGCCGTCTCCTCACCCTCTCCCGTCTCAGCCGTCTGAACAGCACGGCCTCCCAGTGACGGAAGCACATGATCCTGGTCTTGGCCACCACCTCGGAGAAAGACTGACACTTCGTGGTGGTCGAAAAGGATGACAGCAAGCAAGCGAGACAGCACTCAGTGGGTCCCACCGAATGGACAGGCGAATTGGCCAAGTCTCTTCTTCCTTTAGCACTCAGTTCTGACTGACACTTCCAACTGGCGCGAATTGCCCGCGAGCTCCTCCACGAGATGTGAATCCTGATTAGTCCATGTGTATACAAAAGAACATGACCAGAATGCTCCTCTGCTTTGGCTATTCTCGCCGCCAAAACCAATCAACTGGTTTCATCTTCATGACTCACCGCCACCCACTCCGGCCTGCATGGCATGCATCGTCAACAGCTCATCGTCCGCCTCCTTGGCCAAGCGCAAGGCCTCCTCGGCGGCCTCCGCCGCCTGCGAAGCGAGTCGCGCCGGGTGGGCGGTCTGGTCGGGTGGTTTGGACCATAGCACTCCCTGAAATCATCGTGTTCACGTCTACGTGTTCGAGGAAAAGGCCCTTCAGGGGCGAAGGTGGTGGGAAGGTGGGATCGATCACGAGTCGGTGAGCCCCCGGTGTTGTTCGTTTTTGAGGACGATGACATCCAAATACCAAGGTGGTGGTGAACTCCACTGCCATGAGTAGTTTAGGGAGTGGAGAATTCGGGGGGGAGCTATGGCGGAAGTGATATGTATCAAGAACCTGTGTTGCTAGGAAAATGACTTCACGTGGACTATGGCACTACCATGTTGGTATAGGGATATCTATCGTGAGACTTATTTCAGTGATCATGAAACGTGGTAGAAATCAAAAGGAACGCGGAAATTCCTGTTTCATCCCCGCGGAATGGAGGATCATCATCAGGGACAGCCCCTGAAGGCAACTCCCCACCGCGGAACCAGGTGTGGTCAAGTCAACCAGACGGCCAGACGGCTCTCCTCCACGGTTCTTCGGTCGCGGTCCGGTGTTGAACAGTTGGACGGCTCGGGAGCTTCAGCGGTCTTCAGATCAGATCATCACCGAGCTCCCACCCCAGACACCTCAACCCCAAAGCATCCACCTTGCGGCAGACTTCAGGCAGCTCCTCATCCGGCTTGAAGTCCTGAGCCCATGCGACCAAGACTGCGCGATTGTTGCATTGAAAAGCACCAAGACTGCAGGCAGCTGGATGCCTTGGAGTCGAGTCTTTGCTAAAGACCACAGAAAGCAGCAGTTCTTCTGTGATGCCAAAAGCATGGAGGCCTCTCGGCCCTGTGCGGGCGATGCGGCTCGGCCGGGCCTCCGCTTGCGTCTGCGCGAGGCCGAAGAGTGCTTCGGCCTCGGCCCAAGCCATGAAGGCCTCAGCCAGTTGTCCGGGTGGATTGGGTGGTGTCCGTTGTGGGTTTTTCAGGTTCCATGTAGGTCTCTTCCAGGTGGAACATGGAACAACAGGGGGCGACATGATCCACCACCCACAACAACAGGGGCCGACAGCTTTTGACCATGTCTCGCAGTGGTTGAAAACATCCAACTGGACCCAAGAGAACCTCCGCGGGGCAAGTGATGGTTCCTTCAGAAACGTGTGTCCTTTTGTGCAGATCATTTGGTGCGGGGAAGAGAATGGAAATGCGAAGAACCTGGAACACCATTGTCTGCATGAGCTCCCACCGACTAGCCAAGCCTGTTAAGCCCTTCGTTTTTACTTTCTGGAAGGGAACTCTTTGCAAGACTTTGGATGGGAAGATCGTTTCCTTCGTTGGTACCTACTTGTTAATGAAATGTCTTGCAAACCAACAACGCCTTCTCGACGCCGCACATGGCCACACACACCCGAACCCGCCTCTTGTCGGAAGCAAGCAGCCTCTTCAGGGCTGGCACCAATGTTTGTCTCTTCGCTCGTCTACAATAGCGTACCATCGGCCGTACCCCTTTGAATGGAGACGAACGGACAAAGGGCTCAAGTAACTGAACACCGAAAACCCGAACCAAAAGAAAAGGAGCACAAACATCTTGCGACTCCATGACTCCATATGACTCCATAACTCATCATTAAAGTGGTCCTCAAGTAGATAGAAACCGTTTCCAATCTATGGCTTCAAGACTTCAAGAAAATAACTTGACTGTTCTCTTTGGAGATCCCTTTACAGAGTCCTGGAATGCCAATTCACAACACGATGAGATCTGCCGCGCCTCGTTAAAGATCTGCCGCGCGCGCTTGGCACACGTCGCTGACTTCGCAAAGTCTCCCTGGGGTGGAGGGGCGAAGGAAGCGGTGCCCCGGCCGGCCCGGAGCCCGGCCCGAATCCGTTCGAGAAGAACCAACGGTTGGCCAGTTTCCTGGGCTGAATCGTTTTGGTTGTTCGAACATGAGTATTCAGCCCAGTGCGAGAAGCCTATGTTGGTGCAACCATAGACCTCCAAGGAATGTGGAGAAGAAAAACATCGAAAGACCATGATCGAACGCTCTTCGCGAGGGCCCCGAATCACGGGATGAAGATCCTTCCTGGTGAGGCGAACGATCCTTTTTCGATGATCCAACATGGAAACCAGTCCAGAATCTCATGTCCTGTGCGTCAATGACCTGGTTGGATGCCTAGCCAGGGAGTGTGACAGCTCTCTTACTTGTCTGCTCTACTTGCACGTCGTGTGTAGCGGAAAAAAGAACCTGCATGGGGCCATGAAGTGCCGTCGCCAGGTCAGACCCGGTCTTCCTGCACAGACCCTCCACAGACCGAGCTTAAATGATGAGCTTATCTGTGGCCGGACTCAGCAGAAAGGTCACCAGAAAGCAGACCAACCGCGCTCCCTCTGCACTCGAGTGCTGAAAACCCTCACCGACCCTCACCGACCGCCCCCACGACCGCCCCGCCGAGCGCACCGGTCAGCCGGAGAGAACGGTGTTTGCAGCAATCGACTCAATCACAGCGTCACGAGCTTTTCAACAGATCCAAATCACTTTACTCCCAACGTCTCCAACTCCCCATCTGTTCAACGATCCAAAAAGCTCGGTCCAGAGTCCAGAGTCGGCAGCACGGTGCGTCCCTCGCGCGGTGTCCCTCGCGCGGTGTCCCTCGCGCTCGTCCCTCGGCCGCGCGCCCGGGTCATGTGGAGGCTTGAGAGATGATCCAAGGATTGTCCCTCGCCTCAAAGCATCGATGCTTGTCTCGTTGAGACAACGCTGTCTCGACCGATGGTGTTCTCGAAGTCATGAGACATGCAGGTCTCCCTTGGGCAAACTCAAGCCGTGAAGGGAACCTGAGCCTTTCAGTTCCATCGTTCGATCGATGCAGGGTGAGTGGCCGATGAAACCCCAAAATCTCCCATTCATCCCCATCCTCCCCGACCTCGCGCGCGGCGAAACCCGGGGCTCCCGGGCCAATCAGCAGCTTCTGGCTGGCAAAGATATCTCGCGCCTTGTTCGCCACCTTCATAGCCTGGTCGCTCCGGGGCGCCAGCCAGATGGGGCAACGTTGACCACCGGTGGGGCGACGGAAAGCCCAGGCCCAGCAGCATCAACGAGATGCCTCCAAGAGACAGCGCAAAGCTGCCATGACACTGCAGTAGAGATGGTCCCTACTTATGCGTCTCCCAGCGTCCGAGCCGGACCCTGAGCCCTAGCATATCTCCCCCAGCATACCCAGCCATGTCTCCCCCAAGACCCGGTCCTCCAGAAACCTGCGGCTGCGATTCCACCCCGGACCTAAAAGGCCCGGACCTCGTCGAAGTCGCCCATCTTCGTCAGGCCAGAGCAATGGTTGATCCACGCCAAGCCCTGGCAAAACGTCGAGCCTCGAGCCCTCGATGTCGCACAAAACGTTCCGGAAGGCGAAGCGGAAGCTTCCATTGCTCCGAAGTGAGAAGAAAGCCACACTGAGGCGTTGATGAATGAGACCCTTCTGGACCTGCGAGTCGGCCTTTTGTCCTCGCCTTTTACCTATGTCAACTGGTCTTCGGCACAAGGCCCTTGGGATCTGGAGAGTCCCGGAAACCCGGTCTTTCATGACGCTCTATGAGTCCATCAGTCGGTCCTTCACCACCTCCCCATGTCACACTCCGAATTCTCTCGCAGGGCCCTCTATGGACACAGTTAGGGGGTCCTAAACCTAACCTAACCTACCTAGTTGGAGGTCCTTTACCCAAATCCCCCGACCAAATCCCTCCAACAAAATTTGACTCGCCTCGCCCTTCTTGTCGTTCAAGGACTCGTAGATGTTGATGGCCTTCTTGGTATCCTTCCAAATGCAGCTAGGAAGTGGAGGATGGTCTAATGCGGGGGATCCTTTGTGCAAGCTTCACAGCAACAGTTGAGGGGACCAAAATCCAGGATAGCCCCGCAGCTAGATCATGTCGCTGCCATCCCTGGGCTTCCATCCTGGCACCATCTTATGAATAGTAGGGCATCGCGGGTGGTCCATCACAGCCCGCTATGTATAGCTTAACTGCATACTAAAGTCAAAGAAACATCTAGATGGAAAGCTACAACAAGACTACCCATATCCTCTGCTTCCAGAGACTCTTTTTATGGGGGGGGCAACTGGCAATGGTCTCATCAGGGAGATCACTGGTCACTGGAAAACCATTGGAAACCTAAAACCCTTGGCAAAAAAGAAAGAGTCCATAGAAATAAACCATCGGCTATCTTGCCGAGTTCAGGACATCTCGGTGGAAAGTGACTCGCCTGGATGCCGCCTGTTGCAACTTGGAGTAAGGAACACAAAGGAACATCACTGCGCAGAACAGTGTCAGGTTCTTAGACTCTTAGACCAACCCTCAGCTGAGTTCACCGCTTTCGCATCACAACTTCTCCCCACCTCTCACCCCGGCGCCTCTCACGCCACGCCCTTACTTCCTCCCGTTCTCCGCCCCGTTCTCCGCCCGTTCTGCGCCGCGCCGTGCCTCTAGGGCCTTGTCCGGATGCTCCAAACACAAATGCGCCATGACCATGGTACTCAGCGTCGTGGCCTCAGGGAGCGACAGCGAGGGAGACGTGGGAGGGAGGGAACCAGCGCTGGTCGGAGCCCCCCCATTCCGCAGCCACCGATCGACTCCACGGACGGAACGAGGAGAGACCGAAGATGACGGACGGATGAGAGACCTGCGCAAAGCCGAAAGCCAATTCCGCCGATTCCTTTGGGATGACGGAGGCAAAAGATCCTGGATGTTGACGAGAGAACCCTTGGTTGATCAACCAATGGATGACAGATCAACCAATGTCAGTTGGATGATCAACCAATTTGACCCAATGTCAACCCCTTGAACCAATGTTGTCAGATTCAACCAACCGCAGGACTCAACCGCGCAGGAAGTCCGGCTTGCTCCGGTGCTCCTGTCCTCTGTTCCTCATACAACATTGGATCCATCACCGGCATCGTCGTCCAGGAACCCCACAATCTTGCACCCAAAGCTGATTGCCAAAAAAATAGTTGATGGGGACTAAGCCTGGAATGAGGACTTCTGGAGGGCCTCATCTCATTTGAGCAAAATGGGCAACCAGAACGCTCAAACTTCCAGCAAATCAGGCCCCAGGAGCCATCTCCACTTGACACTGCAGCTTCTCAAAAAGATGGAAGGCCGATTTGGCAGTTTGCAGCCTGGGCGGGTGTTGCTGCCTTCCTCTTGATCAAACTCTTGATGTTGTTCAAAAGAACACTCTGCAAGCATATAACTCTAAGAAGTTCCTGCGAGGTTCGCATGATTTCTTGATGAATGGGTTCAATCAGTGGTGTTCTGTCCTTGGCCGGAATTTTAGTAGAGAAAGGGATAAAGAAACAAAAAGTTCAGTGCAGCCATTGAAACCATTCTTTGTCACACGTCTTGACCATGTCTGTCCAATGGTAGAAGAAAACAAACAAAGATCCATGTCAAGAGTATTCTCACCTATGATTGCGCCTGGCCTGGGGCTGACCTTTGCTTTGCTTCGGTGCCCTATGTACTTCGATCACGATAACTATCATATGATATAATCAGCGAACCTCGATGGAGTTAAGACAAAAAGCGTCATGATGGCCGAGAGGTCTTGAAACATACTGTATACATACAGAGGGGGAGAGATGTATGTTCTGATGTTGAAGGCGCTATCACTTCAAACTCCAAGACCATCAAACAAAGAATGTGTGAAGTAAAATGAGGCTAGGTCACGCTTCTTCATACTTCTGGCCCTGCAGGTAGAAGTTGGCTTGCTCTGCAGTCATGGTTGCCTCAAAGCAGCGCCCTTTGGGCAGGTCTGGTCCCAGGGTTCTAGCCAGAAAGGACATGTGTTTGTGTTTTATTAGGGAACCCATCCATCAAAACCGCGTGATCAGTGATCTATAAATTGTCTGACCATTGTGGGAGAACGTTTGCAGCGAAGAGTGGTCTTTTTGAGAGTACTGCGGGTCCTGCGTGTAAGAGCCAAATCCTGAGCCTTGTCAGCTAGAATTCATCTGGTGCGGGTCCTTCGCGACCCCCCATGGTGCTTTCCAGCCTGGTCACCTGATAGCCTAGACGGACGCCATGCTCGGCGTCCCGCGACGCCGACACACCGAGGATTTCCGGTCCCACCATGGATTAAGGATTTGAGTCCCACTCAAAACCAGGTCGTTCCCATCGAACGGGAAGGCTAGACACGTTGAAGAACTTCAGACTTCAGACCCAGGTTTTTTGGAGTCCGTTCTCCGCTGGTTCTCCGTTCTCCACCATTCTCCTCCTCTCGGACCGACTCGCTTTTGGGCGTGGCAGGCTTCGCGGACTGAAGCGTGGGACGAGAGGGTGTTCGAACTTCCTTTTCCTCAACTAGTTTGCACGTGTTTTTTTTCGCGGATGGAGCGGTCTTTCTTCCGGAGTCCCACTCCTTCCGCACCTTCCTTCTGTCTTTGGATCATCGGAATCCCTTTCCGTTCGGCGTGGGCCGTGCTCGGCTGGATACGAAGCCTCCTGTCATGCCACCCCTCCGATGTGGAGGCGCACCTCGTATTTCTTCAGCTGCCGGTCCTGCAGTTCTCATGAGACGGACCGGGCATGGATCCGAAAAGGACCCCCCCTGTGAGGTTGTGAAAAGAACAACCATGGATATGCAGCACCTGCCAATGGTTGTGCTGTGCTGTGCTGAAATTCTTCAAATCAACAGTGGTTGGAGTTCGTTGCACTGGCTTGGTTAAAGAATATGAGCAAAGATCCAATCTTCAAGAGGAACCAATGGCTTTTCAGTAGGAAATTGGTCTACGTCGCGTCTAAGACATGCGCAGGTGAGCTGGCTTCTTTCATGGAGGTCCACACGCTCACTCCAAGACCGGCTCAGCCGGGACCCAAATGAAAAGCTTTTGCGGTGAATCTTTTGGGTGGTTCAACCATGCGACCATGCCCGCACACAAATTGACAAAAGAAGGGACCCAAATTGATGGAAGCAATCCTGCACAATCTAAATTAAAGGGAACCCACCTATGCACAGGGGTTCCTTTTATGTAAACCGCAGGCAGCTGCCAATGGTGTTCTTCGTTCTTCATCGACACCAGAGCTACTGCAGGTCGCCCTGGTCCTTCATTTGGGTGTTCTTCGCCAACTTCATCGCCTCCTTGAGAAGGTTCGCTGCCTCAATAGCCTGGCCCTCAGCCATCAGCACCTGCAGGTTGCAGAGATGGAGTAACCCAGAGGTTACAAAGGCTTGGTGTTTTTCTTGGGGCTTAGGGGCTTGAAACCAACCTCTGTAGAACTTTTCGGGATCAGGTTCTCGCACACGATTCTCTTTGGGTACAAATTCTTGGATGAAAGTACCTTCAAGTGCATAACATAGACCCTCCGGAAGCTCCTTTGCTTCTACCCAGAATCGGCTTGGAGTTCATAGATCCACCTTCTCTGCCACGAGCCTTTTTCACCTCCCACAGCTTCGCTTCCCACACCTTCCACGTCCAAACCTGGCACGGTCGCCTCGCTGGCGCACGCGCTTTTCGCGCGCTTTTCGCGCTTCGCTTCCGGGCCTCGGCGGTGGCATCCAGGGCCGCCGCCTTGCCCACCACATCTTTGGCCTCCTGACCCACCGTCGGTTCGGAAGAAACGCATAGCTCGTCCGTCGGCCGCCCCACGCGGGTCGCGTGCCGGTCGGGTCAGGTGCGGTGCAGCGCGGGTGCGGTCACGGGGAGCGAGGGGCTTTTAAGTGATATCTAGCTGATATATGAGTTGCTATATATCACAAGTATGTTCGAAACGAAACCATGGAGCTATATAATAGTGTTCACTTCACCATCTGCTTTCGCCCCTTATGCCGTCACAGCCGCCTTACGCCCACCCGCCTCGAAGAGCGCCTGGCGCCTTGTCACCTGAGTTGCCACCGATGAAGCCCAAGGACGTCCACCGGCGGCACCGGTGAAGCGACTGCCCCGACTCCCCGGCGGCGAGATCAGGTGGATCGTAGCTCAGGTGGATCAGGTGCCTGCTTTTTTGGACGTCTGAGTCTCAGTCCGGATCCGGTAGCACCTGAGAAGTCCACCTATAAGGCACTTGTTTCTAATAGCTTCTTGTTACTACTAGTAAGGCACCTGTTACTACTAGTAAGGCACTTGTTCCTAGTAGCTTCTCTAGTAGTCCCTGAGAAGGTCAGGTACGGTGATGTGAAATCGATACCACTATGTCGGTTTCGGTACGGGTCCAGTCGTACCGAACCCGAGGTTGCTTTTACGACTGGATCTCAGTCTCAGCGCGTTCCGTTTCTCAGCATCGACCCAAACATGTGATTCCACACCAGTCCAGGGTCCAGAGTACACAAGGTCCAGGTCCAGGTCCAGCTGGAGCCAGCCAGACGACATGCAGACACGGTCCGGCGAGGGCGAGACGCGGCTCCGTCGAGCACGGTCGGATGGAGTAGCCATGGAGTAGCTGAAGGAGGGAGAGATGTTCTTTTGGATCATGGCACCCGGCCAGAGGAACAGCTATGGCCAAAATGTTGCCCCAGGTTTTTGACACATGGACATGATGTTCTTTTCGGTACTGCGAGACATGCAGACATGCAAAGCTTCTAGTTTGGAAGGCTAAGCACTTTTGATCGACTATGAACACCTATCAACGTGACCACAAAGCACGGAGCGCTTCAAGCTTGGGGTAGCACGAAAATGTCCCACCAAAAAACATCCCCACGTCGCACCGTCGCACCGCAACGTCGCGCGCACGTCGCATGCTGCGGCTTCGTCACCAGCTTGCGAGCCTCCTTGATCTTCTTCCCCCGCAACAAGGCCTACGGAGAAGACGTCGAAGAAGCGAAAGACACGCGCGACGTGATCACTGGAGACCCGACGCGAAGGTCGCACGCGCGCGACGTGATCGCTGGTGGTTTGAAGCCGTTCTTGGGGTACATTCATGGGGCGGAAAAAGGGACGAATGTTCTGGCGAAGAGGAACCCTAGGCTTCCAACCACCATTAATTCAATAGGATTTAATAGGCTTTACCGAATCAACGAAGGATTTTACACTCCAAACACCAGGTCGTTCCCACTGTTTTAATGGTCTTGGAAGTCTAGGGGGAAGTTCACAATGCTTCGACGACTTCGAAGCAAGTCTTCCTTGTTGAAAGTTCCAAAGGAAAGGTCATCTTCATTTTGGCAGGGCAGGAACAAGCAAGAAATTGGTTCTGGCGTGCAATCTACTTGGAGCCACGTAGAACTCCAGCCATGTACCAACAGCTTCATGTAATCCAACGGTCTCAAAAAAAACGGCCACCCTTCCGCCCACTCCTCCAGACCAGTCATCCACCGCTACGCTCGCTCCCCCGCCTTGACCAGGGTCCGCAAGGTCACGCCTTGCCAAATGGAAATCTTCAGACCTGGACGTCCGGCCCGGTCCGGTCTTCGCCCCACCAGCCGGACCCGATGCCCATCCCGCATCCCGCCCATCCCGCATCCCGCCCATCCCGCTTGGGTTGGTGGAGGTGTGTTCCTTTTTGGCCGTCTTGATTTGAAAGCCCCGTTCTGGGACCCAGTTGGGATGTGCGCTGTGTACGGAAGTTCCCCAGGCGACGGAAGTCCATTCCGTCCGGGGGCGAGTGGATGAGGCACTTCCCCTCCGTTCAGATGTGCAAAAGCTGTGCACTGAAGAGAGCACAGACGCACAGAGGTTCGCGAGAGAAAACGCCGGTGTATGCCGATTGAATGAATTGAAGCCTGCTTGGGGCCGTCTAGGGCTATGATCACTCTAGGATGTCTGCAGGAGTCTACAGCTTGGACTCTTGAACTCGCTCTCGCATCTTTCACTTTGTCCGTCCCGCACCAGACATGCAGGATAGGCCAGCCCACAACTTACAGGGTTCGACACCCAGGTGGCACAGAACTTCGACAGCATCCACCTGCCAAAGCCTGGAGCCAAACCACCACTTCACAACGTCCCTCACAGTTTTGGGTGCAGCCGGCATCGTTTGGCCCTTGGCCGGCCGCCGCCCCGGCCCACTGCTGGCCTATGAAGATCTTCAGGGCCTCTTCGCCCGACTTGCGCCCCTCCTTGAACTGCCCCAGCTGCAACTGAAGACGTGCCAGGAACTCCAATTCCAAGGCTTCCTGGCGTGAAAAAGACATGCGTCACGTGCCATGGAATGGAAAACAAGGCAAATCAACCAAGGCTTCCACGAAAACCTGAGACATTCGCCATCCACTTCGCCCTCCACTTCGCCATCTCCCCGTCCCCGTCCCTCCGTAGGTCGTGTTGTCGCGCGCATCGCGCATTCGCTCGTCGCTCCTCCAGTCGGAAGCCCAGCTCCTGCCAGATGGCCGCCGCCTCGCGGGCGCGGTTCACCGAGGTGCGGAAGTCCTGGCGCGGTGCCCAACCGGACGGGACGGTCCACGGTGGGGGGTTCGGCTCTCAGGTGCGGTGTTTTTGGGGGAAGAGCGGGTTAGGAGTGATTGGGTGGAGAGGTGGAGATATGCTGCATGAGAGAGAGAGAGAGAAAGAGAAAGAGGGGTAACAAAACATGGTTTGTTGCACCGTATATGTGTCGAACTTGGATGAGTCACCAGACATGAATTGTAAAAAGCTCTGGAAACGAAGATGAACGGTGCGGAAACAAAAACAAGAAGCCACTCCAGTCAAGAATCGTGAAAAAAGGTATTGTAGGGGAAGTCTGTCGCCACAACCCCAAACACCCATCCCTAGCTCCAGTTGGGGTGTGAACAAGAAAGGTGGATTGATGCCTAGTTCGGTGAATTGGTGCAAGAAGTTCGCCACTTCCAGGGGTTGCACCGTCCAAACCGGTGCCAATCCTCGGTCGAAGATCGGACGTAGACGTGTGAAGAGCTCCTGATGGATGCCATAGACATCGACCTTAGATGTCAGCTCCCCGCACCCATCCTACGATTCATACACCTGGCTTTGGACCTCAGGGCTTCAACACCTCAACCCTAGACCTTGAAATCCATTTTCAAACCACCTCTCTTCCACCAAACCACCTCTCCAACCCGTCTCCTCCAGTCGCCCGCAAGCACTGGCCAGGCCATGAAGTGCCCGGGCCTCGCCGCTCCGCGCCAAGACAAAGCTCGTGGTGTCCTCGTCCTACCGAAGCCAGACGGTGACGGTAGCTACGGCGACCAACTCGTGCGAGATGGCAGGGAGCTTCTACAGAGCTTTGAAAGAATAACTGCACTATAATTATAAGTACAGACCAATTATATCCAATTATACATTATGTGCAGTATAGTATAGTAGATGAACTAGCACTGGGTCTACGCAACAAACCACTGGGGCTCTGGGTTCCATCCCCAGCTTGAACCAAAAGCCATACTCCCAGAGCAGATTCGGGGATCATGGGTGCCTTGGTCCCAGCAGGGGCACCGTCATTGGGGCCTGGAAGGCACTTCTTCCTACATTTGAAGTAAGAACCCCAATAGCTCTCGCTATCTGGGGACACATGCGGGAGCCATCGTGTCCTCTGTTGGCTGACATCCCCCACGATGGATCATGTCCATCCCGACCAACGATGTTCACCACACAAAATGAGGTTGCCCCAATTGCAAGCATTCTCTGTCTCTGTGAAGTTCAAGTTCGATGCCTGTTCATCCTGTTCTTGCTCATCCGCCTCACATCCCCCGCTTCATTGCTTCGTGCTCAGATGCCTCTCCTCTTGCGGCACGGGCACTGCACCAAAGAGCGCCAAGGCCGCCTTAAGCGCCTTGACCGCCCTGGCGACTGAGTGAGATCGGACTCATCCCAAAATCATGGCACCTAAGGTCTCGACCTACCTGGGACCCTACCTGGGACGGCATGGGAGACCTTGTTTGACCCTACTAGTACTACCAGCATGTCAATGGCCCTGTTGGACCTTGTGGACACCTGTCGTTCGTCACCTCGCGCGACCAGTCGGCAGACCGGGTCTTGACCTGCCCCACGCAGACCCGGCCCACGTATCGTGACGGTTTTGGGTGACCAAACAACGGGGGTTTGTTTCACTCCCGAAAAGTCACTTGTTCTCCACATATCTCATCCACATCCCTCTCCATGATTTGAAGACGGGGTGTACAAATATCACTAGTTTTTTGCTCCAAAAGCCACACATGGTGGAACTGTATGCACTGGCTTCCAGAATCTTGAGAGGGAAATGCTCCTGATACTCTAAAGTCGTTGAAAGCGAAGGAAGGGAGAGACTTGAATCTGCAGGGCAGATTCACTGAACACATCATGTGGCCACTGGCCAAAGATGGAAGATTGACCGCCCGAAAGACATCGATCCCATCGTCTTCCTACAAACCAACAGGTCGAGCATCCGAGTGAGCTCAGAGTCTAACTCACGGCAACATCGTCTTCGTATGTATACAGTACAAACATTGTTTTGCACTGACAGCCAAGCCGCGGTTGTACAAGCAATCGGTCTGGTCGCTTCTTTACTGGGCGACAAGTACCAGTAGTCCCCAGTCATTCCGCTAGAAACCTGGTTCTCGCTTGTGATTCTTCGCTGATCTTGGGACTGCGCAGAATCTGAAACCAAAACCTTCATAAATACAGACTCCCCACTTTTTGCAAACACCCAATCATGATGAGAGTGAATACGGGCTCAAAAGATTAGTAATTGATATTTTGTTGGACTTTTGTGTTGCACCAAAACAAGAAACATTGTCAAAGGAATTCAAAGGACCAAGGACCCACAGATGGACGTTAAATCCACTCCGTTCATATGTTAAATGGTCACATGGAGTGGAGGGGTTGAAGGAAGGTCATTCTTCACACCTGGAAGACTCTGGAAGTCTGGTCCGCCCGCCAGGCCCTGGTCCACCCCATTGACCGGGCTCTCGCACTTTTGGTAGTGCTTCCGCTGATGTGCCTGGGAGATTTCAGATGTGCCAAGCCAGAGTTTTTCGTTTTTCGTCCTCTTAGTGGTACAACCACACAGAGATCTTCGGCTAGGCTGCAGAACTACCCGCAACTGCTACAACATTTCAGTCACCAGTTGGGTCTATGGCTCTCACAAAAACTGGTCGAATCCACCTGAAAAAAAGGAGGTCGACCGATCCTTCCTCGTCCCTCGCCCGAACTGGACAACCCCCGTTTCATTTCTTCTTCGTCCGGTTGAACGCTTCCGTCTCGATCCCTCTCGGTGGCAGGTGGCGCCTTCACGCCTTTCTGGATCAGTGCGGAGGCCAGAGCTAAATGTGCCTCAGAGGTGATATCCCCTCCCCGTCGCCATCAAGCAGAAGCCATGCGCAAAAACGTGCAAAACTGGACCAAACCAGCGTAGAGACCAGAGAAACTGGACCCCAAAAAGAGCCCTTGGACATTGGGTGCGCAGAGTCTGGGAAATGGTCACGCAAACAACTACATCACGTATACAGAATTATCATCACTCTTCTGGCCAAGTCAATCCTCAATGTATTCACAGCCCAAACAATGGTTTTCAACCGCAAGTTGCACTAGAACGGACATGGAGGGGAGCTACCTTTCAGAACCTGCTATCTCTACCAATGCGAACCGTTCCCAAGAATCTCCCCCTTCGATCAAGAATGATTCAGCTCTGCGGCGTAACCCTCGAAGACCTTGTCCTCCAGCTCTTTCTGGATGCCTATGGCCTCTTCCGCCCAAGCCACTGCCTCTTCAGGTCACACTGACCCAGCGGGTCTACCACCCGTCCGCTGTCGAACAACGCGCGAGAGATCGACCCGGCCGGAGCTGGACGGACCTAAGCTCCATCCATTCGCGCCCGGGCCTCCGAATTCGACCGTTGCGTGACATCTTCGGCGCCCCAAAACGTGATCTTCTCGGGAACCCCCCCGGGCCGAGGCCCCGAAACTCACGTCCCGGTCCGTGAAAAGACCCCACTTCCGAACGGGCCGGGCAAGTCATTGGTTCAACATGGTTCAAACTGTTCTTTGAAGCATAGACACGCTCTCGAACACAGGGACCGCCCAACCATCAAACGCGATCTCGTAGAACACAAGTGGCAGGACGTGCACCAATCAGTGGTCCACCCCAAAAGCCGTCGCCCCCGACCAAGCACTATCAAGACCTTGAGTTGGGCAACGGTCAGACCATTCTGAGCCATGAAAACAGGTCGGCACCAGGCCCTTCAAGGATCCCTCGTGCTGCATGCCCCAGTGTAACTGTTACCGCGTTGTTCATGTATTTCTGCTCTTAGAAAATCCATACAAACAGCTTCTGGAGCTCGGCAGCTCGGCCCCCCCCTCGGCAGCTCGGCAGCTCAGCGCCTGCATCCTCCGCTCTCCGCGGCATCCTGAGGTGGTGTGCGTGGGGGCCCTGAACGGCATGTGTCAACGGCGTCCGTTCGACTCGACTCCCAACAACGGCGTTTGCGGTGGGTTCCACAGGCTCCACAGTTCAACGATGTCTACCAACCATTGACCAATGGACCCCTGGACGGTCTACATCACCTGATAGTCACAGGCCTGGGGAAGGGTTTGGCAGGCCTGTTGCCTTGTCCAGGTCATCAATTCCGCCGAATCCCAAGACCTGACACCTTCGGACGCCCAACCCCGTACCCGGTCGCTGCCTCACCCGTACCTGCTCCAAGCGTCGGAAGGCAGCGACCTCTGCCAAGGACTGCAGCACCAAGGCTTCCTCCGCTCGCTGCCCAGTCTTCCGCAGCTCTGCCAGGTGGGCTTCGCCTGAAATGCGTCAAAACAACTCTCATCATCTCAAAAAAGGTTTAAAGGTTGGTAAACTTTGGTAAAGGTTTAAAGGTTGGTTCGGAATCACCAATGTCATGCACAGACCAATGTCATGCCACATCCGAACAAGAAAATGGTCTAAAAAGCTGCATGATCCCACTAAGTTGGATCGCAGACTCAAGACTCTTGATTTCTTCACGCAGCAAGAGCTGAATAGAGCCCTCTTGAACATACTGGAAAATGATCAAAGCAAGGGTTTCTCCAAAGAATATGGGTTTTATGAGGTTCAATGCCTATATGCGATGAGGAACATTGCTTCTCATGGCTCTTTTAGGTCTTTTTCCAACACTCGGTGATAACTAGTCCCCCGTGATAACACTGTGGAAGCGAACATCCGAATTCGATGACCATCGATGTGTTCCTTGGACATGCTCTGGTTGTTTCCCACTCAAAACCAAGAATTCGATGTGACCGAAGAAAGAATGCAAAGTGTGCCAAACCTCATGCTCCACTGACAACACCCAACACCCGACCTCCTTCGCAGCGCGGTTCACCGCGGTTCGCCCACCGCGCTTCCCGCCTATGTCGAGCGCTTCCGCCCGGGACTCGTAGTCCGCCAAGGCGACCTCAGAGACGTTCCACCGCCAAGGCCCGGCAAGTGGGGGTTCCACCCGGTAGGACCGTGAAATGGGACCCCAAGAAGTCGAAAAGGAACACCAAACCACAGGTCGAGTGGGGTGGTCTTGGGTCGCCCTCAGGGTCACGGAAGCCGTGTGTGTTTCTTCTATGCTTCTTCCGGGTCACGTGGCCTTTTTTTCAGGAAAGGGGGGCATTCTTGAACTTCTTGACATGCTCAGCACCCGCACCCGTCACACCGAGAAGTCGCGAAACGTCTTCTGCGCCGAGGTCAGGTCAGTCGATCCGAGATCCGGCCCGTCGTGCACCGAAGGATTGATCCGGGATCAGACCCTGGGAGTCGGTCAAGCTATAAAAAGAATGGTCTGACTAAGGGGGCCTGAGTTTGGGAACTTCCTTTACTTCAGCCGTTCCAAGGACTGGCCTCTCCGCGGGTCAACTGGCCAGACATCGACCCAACGAGTTGAAGCGCGATCCTCTCCTCGCCACTCCGCTCCGCCACTCCGCTCCGCCCCTCCGCTCCGCCCCTCCGCTCCGCCCCTTCGCCACTCAGGGTGGAGGTTGAAGCGCGGACCATGTGAGGGAACGAAGGAGAGAAGTTGAACAAAGATGCAAGCTCTGCCACGTGAAAAATTGTATCTTTGTTGTATCTTCTATACCGTGTAAGAATCTCTAAGAGTTTAAAATGGACGGGATGAAGCAGCTGTCAAGGGGAAGCAAACGGGCTTCCCTCACATCACGTGCATACTCTTCGAACAGTATGTGGAGTGGATCCACTCCGTGCAGTCAGAACTGCAGCGCTGGGACCGTGGCATGACCTTCTTCTTCGGCGCAGCGCATAGATCCGTACGCACGTCATGAGCGGCGGTCTCGCAGCACTGGGGCGGGCTCGGCCATGGGACGGGTACCGGGTTGGCCGCAACCGGCCGTGAGGGGAATGGAAGTCGGGTCTGTTTGGGCGGTGTGTCGGTGAGCCAGCTGAAGCAGTCCCAGGCGCCATCAGTACGCGAGTGGCATCAGAGATGCTTTGCAGATCTCCTCGTTTCTGGAAGATTGCCTTGGAGAGCGACGAATGACAAATCCAGTAAACGCCTGTCCATCTTAGATGGTTTTCCACAAAACAATCCGTGTCTTCATGTGGGCAAATCTACAGTTATAGTTCTTTAGCGCATATTTTGATGGCAGGGCCTCTCTTCAGCACCAATGGCTGTTAGTTGTTGGCAGGATACAAGAATAAAAACATACTGATCATACCGTGCAAAAGGCGCGTGCATTCAGCATCATGTATCTTTCCTTAGTTTTTCCTCCCCCGTTCACCCCGTACAAATCTGTGAAGGATTCTATCATGGTCAAGAAGCTGGTATCTCTAGCCGCTCTGTATCTCTAGGACATGTTTGATAGATTCGCATCGCTTGGATCTGGGGCCAAAAGATCTGAACAGACACGAAGGTCCCTTAGGAATTCGTAAGTGTCTGATAGAATGCCTTTGTAGAAGCTCTCTTAGGAAGCTTTCTTAGGCATCAGAATGCGTTTTGTAGAAGCTCTTTGGAATTTCGGTAAGTGATGCGACCCTCGCCAAGCGAATATCGGAGTGATCGGTGAATGGTTCTTGCCTCCAGGTTCAGACTCACAGGAAGGACACAAAGAACATTCTACCAACGAAGTTCAGAACCTTCAGAACCTTGGCCTTCTGGGGATCCATTGCCCTTGGAAGCGACATCTTCCGCCTCCAACACCTGGTGCCCTTCATCCTGGGCCCGTTTCGGAGCAGCGAGCCGGAAGAGAATCCGGTCCGCAACCAGCTACCCAGCTACCCAAGTGATCGAACCCCCTTCATCTCCCCCCATCTACCACACACACACCCCTCTTCCTCTCCTCTTCCCCTCCTTCCTCTTCCTATCTCCATTCCCTTCGCCTCATCCCTCCCTCCCCCGGCGCCTCCCTGGTGCCCCTCCCTGACCCTTCGAGTCCCAAGGCGCCCGGGCATCCGACGCCTTCTCCTGTGCCAGGTCCGGGCGATTGCTCGCCATGTCCTCGCAGGCGCTCGCCAGCTGCGCGGAACCCTCATCGCCGCGCCGAGCCCGGTGGGCGGCTCCTGGCGCGGCCGCGGGTCGCGCTGAACCGCGGCGCTTCTGCGGCGTTCTCCGTGCGACTCAGTCACGATCTGTACGTCTAAGAGAGAGGTGGGAAGGGTGAGCAGCTAAACATGCTGACCTGCTCAGCAACAATGAAGAACCTCTTCTTGGCCTGTGGCTTTTGGGTCAGCAAGTCGTCACTTACTGCTCAACAACACACTGGAAAGCCTGCGCCTCCATGTTTCACGTCTCCAATATCAAAGAAACCTTTCACCTTACCACAGAAATCTGCTGTCTGCCACCGGTGATCATTCTGAGACGTCCAGAACCATTGAGCCTGACTCCAATTGGAGCGTGAGCCTGTGCCCCAAGCGACGGCGTGTTCCGTGGAGATGGACCCATTTTTCAGTTTCAAGAAGATGTTCCGAACATGAAAACCCTCAAAACCACCGGACCCTTGAGTGCTTTTCATGTCCTCGGACGGAGCCTTCAGTGCTTTTCGCTGAGTGACCCGGGTGATGTGGGGGTGACCCCCCCCCCGAAACGCGTAGACGCGTGGCGTTCCGACCACCCCGCCAGGGACAGGAGACCTCCCTATTACACACCTATGACCTCATAGGATGTTATGTTGCTTGAGGTTGGCCGAAGAGGACCCCAAAACATGGCGTTGGACCCTTGTTTTTCTCTCCAAGGAGGATTCAAGAGGCAGTTGGCAAAGGTCAGAATATCAGCAAACCCGAGTTTCGGCAGCTGCTTCACCAGCCCGGCGCTTTCTTTTGCGTTTTTTCATGGCCCTTGTGCCGAGCCTATGTAGGTGATGGGCAGTTGCAGCAAGGTGCGCCCCGGTTCATAGCCGCGGGAAATCCCAAGCGGCATGGCGCCACGCAGAGGGTTTTGGTTGTTTTGATCGACTTGCAGCGGAAACCCTGAGCAAGTTTTTCAAGGCGTTGCGGGATTCAATGTGTTGCCAACTCTTTCACATAGGTACGATGGCACTCAAAAAAAATGTTTATCCTGCATCAATCAATACTTACTTGAGGGTAACATGAGCCGGTTCTTGAGCGTCTCAAACCTAAGAATGGGTTGCAGTTTTCTGCATCTCCTTCCTCAAAACTGGGCATTTGGGTTCGTTCCTGCTGTCATCTTCATCTCGATGCCCTGTCGTTTGCGTTTTCGCGGGCTCCTTGAATCACATGTGCAGAATGATGTTTGAACCTGCAGACGCCATTGAAATGCAGTTCGTGTTCTGTTCATGTGAAGTTCCAAGGATACATTCCGGTCATGGTTTGCATCCCAAGTATGTATGTAAACTCTGGCAATCATGAACATTTTGGACAGTTGCAATTTGTCCTTTAACCCAAATCGTACTTGGCCATGGCCATTGACCAGTTATTTTTTTGCACAACTACTTTCACAAAATGAGTTCGTTTTTGCAAAACATACGTGCACAATACAATGCTTCTATCGGTATGTGGCCCATATGTAGCGAAGACCTTTTTCACTCGCAAAATGGAGCCTATATATTGCGGTCACAGTTCAGGTGTACAAGTACATGGATGGTCATGACTGTCACTTACGTGGATTCTGACATGTTGCCTTCATGACCGTCCATTGCATGCCTTTTGCAATGCGTACAAATTTTCCTCCAATGTACCACCTGCAACTCTTGCTAGTGTGGTAGTTCTCACCGCTAGGGTACACTGTCACCATCTTCTGTAGTGACTGGAGCCATCTTTGCTCGTGGTCTCTCACCATACTGCTCAGTATTGCACTCTTTTGTTTCTGGCAAGTCAAGTCACTCTCCAGGGTCTCATTGACCTGCTTTGTTGCCCTTCTTGTTTCTTCAAGAGGCTCTTCTGGTCATGTAGGTGCTCGATCCTCTGGTACAGTTTGTACACTATGTTGGAATCGTCACTTTCCTCTGTTTGCACCTCTTGTGCTGTGCCTTGGTCAGCTTGACCTTGCGAGGCTCTCGTCCCACTGATCAGCCATTTCATCATCCACCACATCCCGATAGCCACGCTCAAGGCTCCGATGATGTTCAGCACCCTTCCGCTCATCATAGCGTAGTCCACCCAAAGACTTTCGTCCTCGGTCTTTGTACGTACTCTCAACACCAGCGATCATGCTCACCAGTGCGATCAAGGCCATGTTCATATCTTGGCCTGTCTTGCTCATCACTTTGTTGACCTTCTTTTGCATCCTGCTTTTGGTTTCTGTCTCATTGAACTCTTCCTCGCCGATCTCGATGTCATATTCATCAACCATGCTCAGAATGTGAGCTAGGGCCTTCAATCTGTACTGACTCACGTTCTTCGTCCCGATGTCTGCGTTGTTGAGCAAAGTTGGAATTGCCGTCACCTCCATGGCATTGCTTTGAACTTTCTCTGGGGTCCACACCATTCCTGACTCGATGCGTCTCACTCGCCCCACTCCCTGCCTTGAGGTCAGTGACCTGGCAGCCGAAGAGTCACTCCTTGCTTTAATCTTGGGGCTCACCTTCAGCATGAATTCGATCACATGCTTTACGAATAGGGCTTCAGAGCTTCCGGCCAAAATGGCCGTGAATTCGGCTTCTCCGCTGGATAAGGCTACCGCCTTTTGGCTTCTCACCTTGGACTCGATCAAACAACCGTCCAAGAAGATATGGAAAAGCTCAAACTCTTCCTGGTCCGGCGGCATCCAGCGAGATCTGCATCTGTCACCACCTCTAGCAGGTGTGTGTCCTGGTCCTCGATGTCCTCCAGCTCTCTGGTATCCAGGATCGATTTACTCTTCTTTGTCCTCTTCAGCATGATGCCATACTTTGCAGTTCCATGCAGGTAGCTGGCTAGGTGGACAACATGCTTCACCTGTGAGCTCATCGGCTTTGCCATCATTCGTGCCATCATATGTATGGCATACCGGGCATCAGGCCTCTCGCCACTGATGTACATCATTTTGCCCACGCAGCTGCGAAACCTTGTGCAGTCTGCACTGTTCAACTCATTGCCATGCCTCATCATGTTGATGTCATTGGCACACGGTGTGGTCTTGGCCTTCTTGCGGCCAACTTCACATGCTTCTGTCAGCTCTTCGATGTGCCTGGGGTCCGGCCGGTCTTACTACGATTATGTGTTGAGTGATGTTGTACTTCCTCTTGAGGTACATGAACTCATCGCCAACTTTCTGGAATGGGCCTTCCACTTCCATTTTCCATCCAGCTTTCTTCGTGACGTAGTTGATGAAGTTTTCCATTGCTGCCTTCTCACCTAGAAGCAGTAAGTCGTCAACGTGAACGCTGATCAGCAAGTTCTGCAACCTGAACAGTGTTGGTTGCATGCTGTCAGACTCTCCACCTAGGGCTTTCACCGTAGAGTGGAAAAGGTCAAACAACTGCTTGGCAGCCGTCCTTTGGCCTGGTAGGCGCCTTTCAAGTTTGTAGAACTTGTCTCTACACCTGATGGAGTTTTTTCTCGCCTGCAAGTTGCTGGCTCATCAGGAAAGCGTCCTTCACATCGGCAATCATCAATTGCCAGGCACCTTTCATCTGCATCAAAAACTAGGCAGTCTCGGTACTACTGAAGCCGAGGTGGGAGCAAAAGTGTCATGCTCTTCGAACATGGCGCCTTTCTTGAACTGGCGTGCCACAAGTCCGGCTCGCCTGAACCAGACATGTTTCTCTTGGCGTTTCTTCCAGACTGTCACCTGTCGGCTGGAGATGATGTTGTAATCTTTGCTCTCTTCTTCTGAAACCTTTGAGATTGCCGGGATCTTCTCTGTGGCAAATCTCTTCATCTTCCGCCAAAATGTCTAGCTTGGACATCTCTTCCTCTTCCAACTCTGGTGGGTGATCTCCATCTCCCACATAGCTCTCATTCTGTATTTCCTCCTTGTCGGCTTCGTCTTCGTTGAAGACATCGCTGATCAGCATCTCTGGCTCGTCTCCATCGTATTCTTTCTTCACCCGCTTCACATTTCCAGCATGTTGGTGGGTACATCCTTTCTGACTTTGGGCGTTCTCCTAACTCTTCAGCACTTCTCTTGACTCCGTGGTCTTCTCCGGCCAACTCTCTGTCCTCTTGCTTGGATTGCGCTGCCTTGTCATCATCAAACTTTCTCTTCCCGTCCTCAGTTTCTTGAGCCATTCCTCCCTCAAACTTTCGTCCGGTGCTTTGTGGCTCTTCTTCTGCTTTTCGTTTCCTTGAGCTTTCGTCCAAGGTAACTGGTGTCTGGGGTACTCTGAATCCCGGGGTCATGGGCGCTGATGGTCCTGCTGTCTAGTACGCCAAGGCATCTGCTTTGGGCAGGTGCCCTGGCAGCCAAGAATGATCTGATTTCACTGATGTGGTCTTCCGCTTTGAACCTCACGTTGGAGTCAGATTGTTGTTTTTGTTTTTTTGTTAAGATCCTGAACATGTTCTAGTATTGGGATCGAACCCTAGGCATTTTCTAGAATATTTTGATAATTTTATATGTTTGAAAATCATGGAAAATCATGGAAAATCAACGAAAACCATATGTGACTTCACCGGCTTCAAAAAAAGGAACCAAAGGGACTCATCACAGCCCCCCTTGGACATCATCGTCAGCCACACGGCCACCGATGGGCATCGCGAAAAGGCTGCCAATCACTAATGCCCGCAACCAAGGCAGCAACAGGCTATGGGCGAGAATCCAACACTCTCACTGACCCCTCTCACACTGGCCATGAGGCACCGACAGCAGCGGTCACAGAAGCTGTTTGCGGTGCACGGAAATATAGCCAGAATGATACATCATGTATGAACTGCATTTGTATGCATTTGTATTTACATGCAACTACATGTAATTGTATTTCCTAGAAAATGGCAAAGTGTTTTCAAATGAAGCTCGAAGAATGCTAGAAAATGGTGACGCATAGTCATGCCATCAACATCCGGCCTCCAACACCGCAGGAGGTGGCCGATTCCGGCATAAGATGTCCTGCTGGATCTCATCATAGCGCTTCAACTCTTCGTCGGGCGTGTCAAAGAAATCCTGGCATAGGAGCCGTGACGCTGATACGAACACCTATCATTTTATAGAAAGCATTTGGCACCGATCATCAAAACAAATTCATACATATTCATTTTCTAGTGCATTTCTACATGCCCTCGAGTTTTTTGAGTCATTTCGGGTCATCACGCATCTACAAATCTCGTTCTCTAGCTTTCTCTATCTATATCTATCTCATTCTATCTCTATCTATCTCTATTTTCCGATTTCCTTCGCACTTCAGGTCTCAAGCATGCTCCAGCATCACCAAAAGCTGTTTGCGAGCATGGGATCAAACCTGCCCCAGCGTGGTCTGACTATTGATCTGACGTGCTCTTGTAGCGTCTAGGAGTCTAGGTCTAGGAAGTTGGCATTGTTGCAATGAGTGGACTTCCTGCAAGGATCCACATGGATCCACAAGGGCTTTTTCTCTGAGCCTCCCCTGTTCACCGGAGACTTTCAGAGACACGGATTGGTCAAGATAGTCCACTCGATCCGCAGCCTCGACAATATCAAGGCCTTCATCGCGCAGCGGTGAAGCTGCTCGCGCGGGCTGCTGAGCATCTCCACCTTGTCCACGAGCCTGTTCTGCATGCCAGCGGGGCAATTTGAGCCTCAGGTCTGCCACACGATCATTCTCTGCCATCTCAATGCGGCGGTCCGTGCACATTTGCCGCAAAATTGGACGGGTTGCTGTAGCAATCTTTTTGAGAAACTGGTCGGGCAATGGCCGAGGGTTTCTGAGATTCATCCTGATTCGCCTTGCGTGCACGAATGCCCTCCTTCGGTCCCAGCTCGCGGCGGCACTCAGCTTTGGTCATCCTATTGTGAAGCTTGAGGGGCCCCGGAGCTTGAGCTTCACCACCTTGTGCCTGAGCTTGTCCCTGCACGCCTTGAAGATCCGCTGCATTTTGCTCCATGACTACACTTTAAGTGCACCCAGAAGCGTGCCCAGATCGTTGCTCACAAGCTCACAAGTTTGGGCCAAAATGCTAAGAATATCCAAGACATTCTAAGACTACAAAGGTCATCCCGACGCTTCCAAGCAACTGCAGTGCGCAGTAGAAACATCCTACTTCAATCTGCGTCATTTTTTCAATTGCTTCATCCTACTTCTAATTGTAACGCTCTTCATGGGGCGCGCGGGGTCCTTCTCGTCGGCTCCCCCTTCCAGCGACGGCTTCACCTCCTGGAGCGGCGCTGCACAAAACGATTTGACCGACGTCTCTGTCCACGCTCTTGAGTGTCTAGAAAGTGCATCAGCATGCATCAGCATGTTTTCACCATTGTCGACCATTTCCATCCATTTCCCTAAATATATCTCAATACATCTAAAAATATACATTGTATCCTGGGTCATCATCTAGTGAGAGCTTGTTGAAATGGAACAGGTATGAACAGGTTCTGTCATTGTTAGATGTTTCTGCTCCTCTGCAACTGCTGCCTGCTGGTCGCCGTGTTCACTGTCATGCTTGGCCTCCTGCAGCTACAAATCTACACGAGTATATGCAAGTAGACACAAGTATACCCAAGTCTATAAAATGAAACAGTATAGAACACTTCTCTAGTCAGTTCTCTATAAAATGGTGGCAGGACAGGTTCTGTCATTGTTTCAGCTCCTCTGCAACTGCTGTCTGCTGGTCGCGTGTTCACCGCCTTGCTTGGCCTCCTGCAGCTACAAATCTACAGACACAAGTATACACAAATCATCACAAATCTACACAAGTCTATAAAGTGACACGGTGTAGAACATTTCTCTATACTTCTCTATATTTCTCTATAAAATGGTGGTAGGCAGAACAGGTTTTGTATGGCCTTGTCATTGCTGTATGCTGTTGCTCCTCTGGACCTGCTTTGCCTGAAGAAGCTGTCTGTGTCTCTTCCATTTGCGCACGATGAGCCTCAGACTATGAGTATCTTTTGCAGAAACACTATGTCCAACTAGCATCCAGCTACATATGCTATATCATTTTATAGACTGAGCTCAAATGCTTGGCCATTTTATAGAACACTGTGTCCCACTAGTGTCCAGCCAAGTGCCATATCAATCAATATCATTTTATAGACCTAACGTTTGTGCTTGGTCATTTTATAGAACACGCACATACAGCATACAGGATCCGATGCAGCTAGGTTACGGGTGGTTTTGGTACAGGCGTTGGTAACTTTGGTCGCACGTCGCTGATGCGCAAAGTCAATTTCCAATCCAAAGTCTTCCTCAGTTTGCGTTTCCGCGGGCCAATAGAATTGAACCACTTGAACAATTCTAAAAACAACATCAAAATACATCAATCATTTCAAATCTGACGTGTGATGTGTCGGAACCAGTCTGAACCGAGACGCTCACACCAATAAACATGATGTGATTTTCTTGCTCCCCGGGTCATATTGCACCGGGAAACTTAGATCATGGGAAACTTGGATCTTGCACAAACAAGTGAATGCAAGAATGCAAATGTATGCGCAATCGATCTTTCCAAAATTTTGCGGCAACTAAACTTGCATTCCAAAAACGCCAGCATCCTCGCAGGGGTTCCCATGTTGGCTTTGGAACTGCCTCTGGACACATGCCTGCTTGGCAAATGGTCGGCCATCCAGGCGGAGGTTCTAGAGACTGAGACATTTTGCTGTCGGCAGGGATTGAGCCAAAATGGCTTGAGTCCAAGGCCAAAAGAAGCAGGCTCTATAAAATGACTCCTTGACTTTTTATGGCCTCTAGAAAATGACATGCCCAACGTCTCTTCCAAGTACGCTTCATCCTTCATTTTTGTCTCTAGAAAAAAGTTTGGTTTGCCTCTGATCTCTGCCGCCGATGTCATCAACACCATCGATTTCTATAAAATGCATCTGGATCCAGAAATGTTAAAAAAAAAACTCTATAAAAAGTAGCCCTTATAACAGGGTACCGGGTACCCATTTCATAGAGGAAATTCCCATGGGGATAATCTTAGCCATATCTTCTTTGTCTCCGAAGCAACCTCTGTCGTTCGACCACAAAGGAGGCATTTACCACTTCCCATGTCCCCTTTCCAAAAGCCGACCCGTCCTCGTCCCTCCCGTTCGACCTCACCTGTCAACGAGAGGTCGACCTCTCGTTGCAGTCACAGCCATCCCTTTTTGCATCGGGGTCGAAGATAGACTCTCGACAGTGTCTGGAACATCACTGGTCACATCGTGTCCACCCCAAGGTTCTTCCGTCCGCCAACTGGGAGCGACTCTCCCCTTTGCGAAGATCACCAGATGCCAAAGGAAAAACCAAAACAAGCCAAGATCAGCACAGAGCGAAGAAAGCGAAGAAACCTCAGGGTGTACTTGGCGGAACTTGTGTCGGAAGGAAGGAAGGAACTTGTGCCGGAACTATGTCTTCCGTGTTCTGGGTTCTCCATCGCGGAAGGAGTGGCCTCCTGCAAGTTGCCCCTTGTGAGCCTATGGGTGATGAGAATTCAGCTGTACAGACTATAGGGCTGCTTCAGGAGATTGATCTCATTATACATTGAATCAATTAGCACTCTCTTTCCACGGCATGATCCCGCTCGTCGTGATCCCTCACCACACCTGACACCTGATCGTTTAATCCGAATGAAGCGACTGGTCCCCTGGTCCCTCCAAAGTCCGGATGGTTTTACCATCGTGAAATTGCTCTGAGGCTTAGAGAGGACCACCACCCAACGACTTCCGTGAATGGAACCCAGCCAGCCAATCCCCGCGTCCCTGAGCGGGGAGCTGTACAATACGACCGCGTTTTTGGCCAAAGCTTTAAAAAATGTATAAATCGGTGGCCCAGCAACGTGCCGTGATCGAGCAACGCAACGAGAGGTCTGGGATGAACATATCCCGAGTATGAGTAGTATGTGGGCGTTCGTTTGCCAGGTGGAAGCGCTCGGTCAAACAATTGCTTCGCTCGGGTGGCATCTACTTCGGCGCTCTACGAGACATGAGGATCGAGAAGGTTCTGGCTCGACCAGAGGTTTCTGGAGGTGAGTGGAGATCCTTTACACCAGTGGTTGTTTGGGAGAAAAACAAAATTGTTTCTCCCTAAGAATCATTGGACCCGACCACTTCTGGAGGGTTTTGACCCCGCATGGGGTTGGACCCTCAAAACCTTCACCTTTGAGGGTCCTTGATTCTTAGGGCTGATTGTTTGGGTTTCCAGGTATACCTGATAAAGACATACCGATATGATATAATTACCCAAGAAATACAGAAAAGGACATGTTGTTTCTTTGAGTAGTCCTGGATTGGTTCAGGCTTGAGATGCAACCGTCGCTCTGCGGATGAAGAACACCCGCGGACCTCACGTTGACCGGCCGTAAGGGCCATGATTCGGACCGCAAAAACAGCGGCAGCTATGCTAGAGACTGAACCCAAGCACCGCACAGCCAGGGCAGGCCCCAAACACGACCACGCGACGTGTCATGCTTCATGTTTCTGTTGATAGAATATGATGCTGTTTACATTCCACGATTGCCACGATTGAGCCATGGATGAAGTGCAACTTCACTTGTGGGCTTCGGTGGAAGGGGGGCAATTGTGCACTTGTGGAAAATTGGCATCGAATTCCCATCGTTCGGGAGATCCAAGTGCTCTCATCGGTCAGAACCTGGTGGCAGCACCCGCACCCGTGCCACGGGAATTCAAACAGAACGCGTGGATGCACCACCTGCTATTAGCAGAACTTCCGGTTTGACTCATGAACTACCCCACCGGGTTGTTTGTCATTTGTTCCACCACTACCATGCTGCCATTGTGGGGAGTTGATTCATGAGTCATGGACTCGTTCCGAGTCAAATGAGCCATCCACCCACAAGGACCTCGTCACTTCTGTTTGGAAGACGACGTGTCGGTGCCGTCCTGACCCTCGCGTTCCTGATTGGTCCAGACTTGCGTGCCACTGCCTCACGGGCCTCACCGGGTACCGTCCGGTCTACCAAAGAAAATTCCCCAGTTGTACTGTGCTCCCAATCCAAACCCACGGCCACACCGGGCCACACCGGGCCACCTTCCCATCCTTCGCGCGCACGAAATCAGCGCACTACGCGATGGTCGCCCGCGCGTTCGTTTCGGCCACCGCGCGCGCGTGTTTCTCGGCGCGGATCGGAGCCTGGCAGCCAGACCTCTCTTTCGTTCGGCCCATGGACTTTCGTTCGGAAAGGGGGCAGAAGATGATCTTGCAAGTGCTGTGTTTTTATCACACCTGGCAGCGCTTTCGACGCGGACTCGCGCGGACGGAGCGCGGATCGCGAGACGACCCTCAGGTGAAGAAAGCTGCAAAAGACTCCAAGGGCCTGGGATCCTGAGACCCTGTAAATCGACTTGATGATTGCAGGAACATCTCAAGTTGGATTTAATGGTATCTGTTTGGGCAGGGGCAGGGGTGGGGACTGCCACCACTGAGTCTGTTTCAGATCTCATGGAGACTTTCTTAGCTGAGTTCCAATGAGTGGGTTTGGATCAACAAGGCCCTGCACGAGACGGCCCTGCACGTCCTCCGCTCATGTTCGTGTCTTTGGGATCCGCTCATGTTGGACATCCAGGGTCACTTAGATCCACCACGCGAAGTGTGGACTGCTGCCGAACACACGAACCTCGGGTTCGACAGCTCCCACCACGGGTCAAGATCGGCCACGACCGGGGACCGGGGGGAATCCGAATAGGCAAAGATTCGGTGCCCATTCCGCTATGTAGGTCATGTTGGACACCGGGTGTGGAAGAACAGTTCTGCATGCTGCATGGGTAACACAAAAGCTTGCACACCAGCACCCGAGACCTGTGAGGTCATGACCTGCGACTTTGAAGTCTCCATTTCGGAGACCTGAAGAGAGCTCGTTTTCCTGTGCTGGTATGAAGTCAGCTCACCGGAACACCCTGGGTTTACCCAGGGCCCCCCCAACCATAAACAAATGAAGCTTTTCCCAAACGACCGCTTGTCATCTAAAGGATCTCCAGCTGGCGCCATATTGGAACAACCATTTGTTTCTGGTCTGGACTGGGTAAACTGAAGCAGATCTCTGCATTCAGAGGCGTTTCTGTCGGAGAGTCAACCCATCAAACCCTCTTGGTTGGCTGTGGGTTGACCAGCGGGGGATGTGACCGGTCATGAACGGATTACCTGGGAGGTCCACCTACCGGGTTTTGACTCACTAGTTCTCACCCAGACGCTCACCTTGGTCACCGACCGGTCCCTCAAAACCATAGGGATTGGTGAGAAGGTCCGGACCGGCCCCTACTTTTCACGGAGGGACCAGGGTGCCCGTCTGGGCAATTTGTTTACAGTTAACGGAAAATGTTTGCTGAATAAAGTGTCCAACTATCCCGAATAACTTCGGTGGCCCTGCACGTCTGATCTTCGATGAAGTTTGCACCATGTTCGATGGCCTGCAATCAGACTGCGCTGTGCCTCACGCCCTCCAAAAAAGAAGCGAAATGGTCCGAAGACGTGTAGACTGTATCCTCTACGTGCCAAAGTGTCTTGCTCTTCTTTTCGTGAACCAAAACACTCCCCACTGCCAACCCAGCTCAAACATGCTCAACCTCACCCCAAGCAGTTCTCGACTCATCCCAGCCCCCCTTCCCCCCTTCCCCAGTCTCCACGTCCACGCGCCGAGCTCCGCGAGCTCCGCTAGCTCCGCCCGCTCCCGGCTCGCGGTGCCTGAATAGTGCTGCTGCGAGCGGAAGGTGTTCCGCCCCAGCAGCCGTGGGGCGAGCGGGGCGACGGGCGACCCCTCCCGATCCAGGCGCTGCATCAGTTCCTGCGGCGGTCCGTCGAGAGCGCCGCGCCCGGTGGAAACGGGTCCGATGGCCGGAGCAGATGCGTGGACGACGACGAAGGACGACGAAACACCGGGAGATGACTTCACCAGGAAGAGCTGGAAGAGCTGGAGACTGAAAAGTTCGAGGTCGAGGTGATCCAAGATATCCTAGGAAAAACCGATCCAAAAAATCATCCCAAACCATCCGAAGGAACGGGGGGCGAGTGGTCAAGCCATAGGCCATAGGCTGGAAAATCCACGGTCGCTTTACCAACGGTTTTCTCGAATGCCACGCAGAACACCGGGACTTCTTGCTACATCTTGACACCCGAGTCCCCAAGCCCCGGGGGGCGTCGGGGTAAAACCCGGGTGTGTGTCGTGCGATGCGGCTTTTGTGGAGAGAAAAGACGAAAGGGACTGGGCAGTCTCCTGACGTTTAAAGGCCAGGGGGTGGCTGATTGATTGAAAAGGGGTCAATGCAATGTAATTATTCCAGTCCCATCAAGTGTCTGGAAGGCATATTGACCCCATCACAATGACCCTATAGCAAGTTAACTATTCCGGTCCCATGGAGGGTCTGGCTACTGAGAACTAGAAATCAGATGGAGCATTCGAGCGGAGGCCCGTATTCAACCAGTGAGATATGGGGCACTGCTGGTCATTAGGACAATCTTTGAGCGTTGATAAATAGGACACCCCGTGATAAATCCCATCAGGAGGCGTTCACAACTCTTATCAATTAGTCAACACTGGAAGCAAGCACCGCATGTTCAAACAAAAATCAGACCCCCCCCTTTTTTGTGCGCGCAACTAGACCTTTGGACATCTGCCTCGCGCAACTAGACCAGTTGGAGGCCTAACAAGCCTCCGAAGGAGACCTGTTGGAGGGTGCTGGCAGTCATGACATGTCTGTGTCACATGGGCGTGGGAAGCGAAACAGGAAGCAAATGCGGAAACGACTCATCCTCGGTTCGTTTGGGATGGTCTGGGGGCCTACTATACCGACGGTAGGAAAGAACATGAGCCATGCAGTTGGAACGTGAGTTGGCGTGAAAATGGCGTGAGGTCGTCACGCCAATGTTTCTCGGATTTGCACATTCGCCATGTGAGGTCGTCCGTTTCTCCGAACTTGGCGGACAAAAAAAAACAAAATCTAACCACCCACCCCGGGTGTCCGGTCCCGCTCCGAACACCTGCTTCGAAACCCGCCTTCCCCCCTCCCCCCCCCGCTACGAGTAGCGGGTCCCTGGGGGTCGGTCTCCTGCACTCGCACCTGGAAGGAGCCGTTCGCTGCATCCAGCACCGTCTTAATGCCTCGGCTGGGCGGGCCAAGCGCCGAGCGGCCAAGCACCGGGGGAGATCTCGTCTCCGGTCTCGTGGTCATGTGGTCGAGGTTGGGAGGGTCAGGTGGTCGAGGTTGGAGCACCTAGTTTTTGTGGACTAGACAGGCGTTGCAAGGAGGTGACCTGTAGCCAGTGTCCTCAGGCAGTGTCGTAATGAAACTGGAGCATCCATCCTAGAACTCTCACCACAAAAAATACCACAGCCCACACAACGTGACGCACGTATCACGCCTCTTGCGCAACGCGACTCCGACCCGCTTCAACCAGGCAGCACTCTTTGGCGAACTTGTTCACCTCTGCAAAGCCACCGGGGACCGTCTCAATCACACACGCGTCGATCATGATCTTGTCCTCGACCGAGGTCCCGACCCCGCCCAGCTAGGGCGACCGACCCAGCGGCAGGGGCGAGCAAGAGCATGCTGAAGACCAGCCGGTGGGAGCCTGGTGAACGTTCACCCTGTTCATCACTGTTTGAACATCCGCCAGCGTCGACGGCCCGAGTCGACGCTCGAACGCGAACGTGACAATTTTTGTGACGTTTGGATGTGTCACCCCTGTCGCATGGGGAGAATGGGACGAGGTTCCAAGTTCTTGAGGGGGGGGGGGCGAAAAAAATCCTCCACCCCAGGCCCCGGACGCTCCGTTCACAGCCCGACCGGTCCCTCAAAAACCACAGGGATTGGTGAGAAGGTCCGGACCACAAAAGCCAAAGCGCCAGGCTCGGCTCGGCTCGGATCAGCCGTCCTCCACGCGCGAGGCTTCGGCATTTTCCAAACCTGGCGATGCGGGACGGCGCACGAGCGATTGCTGGCTGAAGGTAAGAGCTTTCTCCTCTTATTGAACCAAGGGTTCCGCCTCATTTGGAGGGATGGGTCAAAGAAGACTCCGCCCAGGGGGGTATGAACGTGTTTGGTGCAATGTCCACATGGCTTTGGGGATTCGTGTCCTCGTGTTTAACTCCAAGTAACCCAATACAGCCCTCCTTTCACGAGTCATTTGGAAGCATGTCTTCTTCTTTTTCTTCTTCTTATTCTTCTTCTTCTTCTTCGTCTTCTTCTTCTTTCTTCTGCTTCTTCTTCTTATCCTTTTTTAGTTCTTCTGCTCCTTCTTCTTCTCCATTTTTGTTGCTTCTCTTTTTCACACTTTTCATTCACTCTCATCACCATATAACACAGTGTCGCTTGCTCACCAACTCAACCAACCAACCAACCAACCAACCAGCCAACCAGCCAGCCAGCCAGCCAGCCAACCAGCCAACCAGCCAACCAGCCAACCAGCCAACCAGCCA